TTAGCCAATATGGATGCTGGTTGCAACTTCTACTAATTTTAGTTCAACGCCTCTGTAAGGTATCAACTGAGAACAGCAGAAAACAGGTGTAATCCATGGATGTGATGAGAAGATAATATGATAGTAAATGATCACTACCTTTTCAAATAATGCATAGGGAGTTCTCTTATGAAATGCTACTTTGCACCAACAATTCCTTGAAAATTAAAAAAAAAAAAAACAGCACAGCAGAAAAAATATTCTGTTTCAACTAATTCCTTCCTATACAAAATGTTTATGTTCCAAAAAATGGATATTTACTCCTTACTTACAGTCTGCTATGGTCAAGTTTTTTCTGACCTGAAGTATTTTCTCATTTTAATTAGAAGAAATAACTAGTTATGGATGTGAGCTTAATTAAGAAAAGGTTGACCAAAAGAAAACAATGTCTTACTGGAAAGAATCTGCTATATATTCCTGATTTCTTGGAATAGCACGCTTCATAATAAACCTTCTGCACATCATGAACATCTAATGTAGAAAGACACTAATAATTATTTCCCATTCATTCCTCAAAAGGCATGTTATAATGAATTTATAAAGTCTGTCTCTATTACCTCCACCAACAAAAGTTCAGGTATCTTACACATTTTTTGGTTTCAGTTTAAAAAGGTTAAACCAGGCACAGCTTGAGTACAAAGTGGATATCAAAAATATGTAAAAATCTCATTTAAAAAAAAGCTTTCAGTTTGGAGCAATTAAGTCAATTGATGAAGAGCTAGATGCCACCAAGTTCAGAAGTCAAAAATGATAGAGTGCACAGATAGATATATAGGTTAAATTTGCCTATCAAAGTAAAATATCCTGTATTTAAATTGCTGGATATTGCTGGGGAGAAAAGAAAAAAAATTATGTGATTCTGGCTTGTGGATATTGAATGAAACATAAGAGATGGTGATTTGTTATTATTTTTGTTTTTTTCCTGAAAGAGTTTCTGAGCTATTGGGAATGAGAATTACTTTATTTGAATCATGGCAAAGTAGAATTTCATTCAATAGTATCTCTAAGGGGCACAACCCACACTTATTTTCCCAATCATTCCTCAGGTCCAGCTATCAATTATGTTTTGTTCAGAAATGGGTGGATCCATGACACTCCAAATGTTGCTGAACTACATTTCCCAGCATTCTTTTTATATTGGCCGATGCAGCTGTTAGTTCTGGTTCAGCCACATCTGAAGGACCACATGTTCCACCCATCAGTTTAATGTTTTCATCTTCACTAGCAAAACTTGATGGAGAAGGCAGTTGGCAGATGCCCAGGAGATATGGATGGAAAAACAAGAGATTAGCTTAGACACAGAAATAAATCACTGAAGTTGAGCTTGGAAGTTGGTATTAACTTCAAAGAACTTCTCTGCCACTAAAACTCTGAGATTATTGTCTGGACAATATATTTTTGGACACAATTTATCATCTCTGTTACATCCAAAGTTCAGTGCCAAGGAATGCTTACATGTGTGTGCTTCTTTTCTACGGCATTTATATAGCTGCCCATCCTTCAGAGCTGAAAGATATCTCTACATAATTCTCCATGTTGTCCCCCCAAACCCTTTTATAAACTTCTGATAGTTTGTCTTTGCTAGATTTGTGCAAGACTTCAATTGCAAAGAGAAAAGGATGATTTAGAATATGCGTGGACATGGATATTACATTTGTTGGCACGTTCTTAAATCACATTCATGTTCTGAATCAACTTTTCTACTCTGAATCTGTACATATGACCTCTAGGAATTCACCAGGGCCAACGTACAATCACAGGTAGCATTTATCTGCCACCTCTGACTACTTGCAAATGGATATTTGCCAATATCTGACAACTGACATGCAAAGGAGTGCCATTCTGAGAAACAAAATTAACGTAATTCAAAGAGCTTCACCCACTTTACACCCAGCTTTGTCATTAAAACTTCTGTATAGCACTGTTGTTTTTTAAAAAAATCCATAAAACAGTTTATAATTAAATTCAAACAATTAAATATTGATAAAAGCATATTGTATTAAAATGTTGTGTAGAACATACAAAACAAAATTAGTAAAAATAATAACAGAGCAGATTTTTTTAAAAAAAAAAAGTTTTAAATGTTACTGCAGCCTTTAACCCTGTGAAAACAGGAGGAGGCTAAAGTCAGATTTTGAAATAAAATATGGCGTTCAAACCTGAAAACTCACCCCCTTTCCCTTTTCCATCCAAAGTTTAACTCCACTTCCACCTGCATTTATTATATTACTATTCTGCATTTTCTCCCAGATGTTCAAGGAAGGGTGGGTGGCTTTCTCTCCCCTCCCCACTTCATTCCCAGAATAACTCGGCAAAGCAGTTAGGTAGAGAGGTGATCTGTGGCCATCTCTAGTGAGTTTTCTGGCTGTGTGGGAATTTGAACCCTGATCACCCTGGCCGACGCTGTTTTTCCAAAAGTGCTTTTTAATTTGCTCTGGCTGTTTCTGTTTGCCTGACTGCCCGCCTCACACCTATGTCCTTCCTCCTTTCTCAGCCGCAATAAATCCAAGAAAGAAAACGAGCAGGCATCCCCCCTCTCTCTCTCCCTCTCCCCCTCCCTCCCTCCCTCCTTCTCTCTCTCTCCCCCCCTCCTTCTCTCTCTCTCTCTCTGGCCGTCGGAACGGCCCCAGCCTATTCAAGCAGAAGTGTAAATCCAAGCGGAGAGTATTAGGCAGGGATGAGCCGTCCCTGGTAAATCCTCCCCATTCCGCGCTCAGCAAGAGTTTGCTAGGAGGATTAACCCACGTCTTGTTCTCAATCCCGGTTTATGAGTTTCCCCGCTGGCTGGGAGGATCCGGTGTGTTTAAACAACAGGCTAATTAATCCTCATTTTATTACTTTCTCTTGTCAAGTGGCTAAAGAGAAGCTGTCAGCTCGGTGAGCCGCCCCACTCGCGTTTGTTTAGCTCCCAAATTACTTCATCAGAACCATCTGCTGCAAACGTCTTGGCTGCAGTTATTGATTTCTCTATTCAAATGCCTCGCCATGCCAGGAGGCGAAGACTTTAAAGGAAATTTTAGGGTCACGGATCTAGGGTAGTGCTGTTTGTTATTTATGACGGGGAAGGAATGCCTCTCAAACTGACAGATGAAGTTACGGGCAGAATCGGTTTGCAAACCGTTTGGAATTAGAGTACCAGGCAAACCAAAAGGGTTCTTCAGGAATTCTCTGGTGCCAAAACTAAAAGAAAGAAAGAAAGAAAGAAAGAAAGAAAGAAAGAAAGAAAGAAAGAAAGAAAGAAAGAAAGAAAGAAAGAAAGAAAGAAAGAAAGAAAGAAAAGTAAAGTCTTTAAAGAGGCAGGAAGAAGAAATAAAACACAATGGGGGAGGAAACTTTGGAAAAATCAACATTTTATCGTTATGGGTTACCTGCTTTATTTTTCCAAAGGGGCACGCAGTACTTCTTCCTGTTCAACATTGCTTTAATTTTACTTTTTTAAAAAAATAAAATAAAATAAATGTACATCCCATCTGATACAGAACTAATGAATAACAATGCAGTGCTTCTTCAACTGTTACAATAATGGTTTAAACCCATTTTAGTTTAATAAAACTGTACTTGTCTTGATTACTCAAACAGCTAGTTTCAGCATCATTATTGTTGCTGTTGTTGCTGTTTTGAGTTCAAACTTAAATCTTCCAGTGGCGTTCTTTTCTGGCTGCAAAAGAAGGGAACGGATTTTAAATAATTTTATAGTAATCCTTAACTCCAAGTGACTGCAAGAAAATGTTCCAGACACCTTTCAGGATGATAGGGTAGAAGGTAATTGCTATTGCTTTCTTCCATCTTCCCAGTGTACTTAGTGGTCTCTCACCCAAGCTCTAGTAACCTAGTCCAATCTTCCTATGCTTTTCAAGATCAGCCCTAGTAGACTAGATGCTGCCACCTAGCTGGATATGTGTTCAATTTTTAAAAGGGAAGGAATTACAGTACATTGGGGGATGGCTCCTTAAAACTATTCTCACTTCTAAATTTGCTCAATTATCTGACTTCAGGCTGAAATATTAAGTCTACTTCCTTGGGCCTCAATATTTTACATACCTACTAACAATGATCCTTATGCTCTTTTTTTAAAATTTATTTTATTTTATTTTATTTTTAACCAACAAAACAAAACAAAAAAAACAAAGCAAAACATAACACACATACACACACAGTATATACTCCTCCCCCTTTTTTTTAACAGGGATTACGTAACGGTTATCTTCTATTATTTACATTTCCGCCCTTATTCTTCTTTAGAATATTTGTCCTTATTGCCCTGTTGTTTCTTATTTACATTTTTCTTCCTTCATATTTCTTTACTATATTTTCTGTTTAAAATACCCAGCAAAAAGATCTCTGGTTTCCAGTCTACAGGTTTCTTCGATCCATCTTCTTATTGTAGTCCAGTATTTTTTCGCAACTGGGCATGTCCACCATAAATGATAATATTATCATAATAATATTATCATTTATGATCCTTATACTCTTTATATTACACTATAATCTGGATGTTTTAAACTAATTGAAGCTTGTAGAAGTTGACATTTACGCTGAATTAATAGAGCTAAATAGTGGAATGGACTGACTGAACTTAACGGTGAAATGAATTGAACTGAACTGTGGAGCACAAGAAAGAATCCTCTCTCAATCTCACAGTTAAAGTAGGACATGCAACATGTCATTCTTTATGTGACGCATTTCAACACTGTGCCATCATGTGCTTCCTATGGACCGCAGTTTGTCTACCTGTGAAGTAAGGCCCATTGGCAATCAGATGGAAAAGCTTGTGTAAATTGGGGAAAAATGAACTTTAACTTTAGTGCAGCCGATGTAGACAAGGCATGTAGACAAGAAATCTAAAAATCTGCAGAAGGGGGTGGGATGTACTGTAGCAACTTAGGTCTCTTCATCAGCTTCATGCCTTATCATCTTAATTGCTTTGCCCCAATTCTCTCCCCCCCCCTCCTTTGGGTCAGGCTCTTCCAGACCAAATGCAGCGGTTGCCTCAAAGCTGTGGCTCCTTCTGAATTCATCATGCGGGTGCTGGAGAACGTCTACCACGTCCACTGCTTCTCCTGCTGTGAGTGTGAGCGGCGGTTGCAGCGTGGAGATGAGTTTGTGCTGAAGGAAGGGCAGCTGCTTTGCCGCAGCGACTATGAGAAGGAGAGAGAAATGCTAAGTGCCATCAGCCCTGCACCCACTGAGTCAGGTGAGAGAGGAGTGGCCATGGGGTTTTCTGCTCAGTAGGGTTAAAAGAATGACCCTGAACATGCGCAGAGAGGTCTTTTTCACCGTCCTGTGTCCCATAACCAGCTCCCAGCATTCGAGGCTGCTGAAACACAACCCTGTGTGGACAAAGGAATATCCCATCCTGTTAGCTGGTTTCTTATTTCCAATCAAGAAAAGTTGTACAATCCTGAATACGCAGTGTTGCAGGAGAAAATCCCTATTGATGTCAAAGAGACAAAATGTGAAGGTTCACTGTATTGAATTCCTGGCTCAGTGTTACGCCCAGACTGAGATTTTCCACTTTCTTTCCTTGAATTCTATCTCCCTAGTTAATGCTAAAAGAGATTAAAATATAGCTGGATAGAACTCCTGTACCCTCCAGGGATGGAAAGAGAGTAGTAGGACATGTTGGAAGGCTGTAGGAAGTGAAAAGGACTACAGATGTCAAAGTTGCTTACACAGAATGAGAAGGACAGATCTGTACCTCCTTTCCCCATACATCTTTCTCTGATTGTAGTGGATATAACTGTCATCATCCATATTCTGGGGATGTTAAGATCCAAAGTATCTAAAGACCATCATGCTTTAGAAGATCTGGATCTGGGCCAAGCATCAAAGTTGTTGTGGTTAGGCACCCACTAAAACCTATGTCTTTTCAAAGGACCCACTATTGACCCAGGCCAATTTTTCATTTTTTGGTTAGGGAAATTGCCTAGAATCAGTGAACCAGCTCTGCTTCCCTCCAATCCAAAGCCCCAATTAGAGGAGAGAATAGAAAGTGGCTATAATGGTCTGGGGTTGGTGGGAGGGAGCACATATGGAGTCCATGTGTGACATCTTGCAAAAAAAAAAAAAACCCATTCAATTATAAACTGTGCATGGTAATCGCTAACTGGAGTTAAACAACCTGAAGCATGTATGTTAAAAATCCTTTAGGCATATACGTTATTAGTGAATATACAAACCTTCATTCCAATATACAAGGAGATTCTGTTCTTCCATTCCATGCAGAATGCATGTGAAGAATATTTACCCCCTTTCCTGGCTTTGTCTTTCTTCCTTTAACAATGGGGGTGGTTGGGAGGAAGGGGAGTTTGGAGTGCTTGGCCAAGAGGTTTTCCCTGTTTCTGGCATCTGTTTCTGGAATAGGCCTGTCTTTTCCTTGCCTTTTTAGGCCTAATTCATGTAAGTATTAAAGTAAAAGAACAAGGTAAGTTAAAGGGGCATTCCACTCTCATAACTTTTGTTCACATGTTTATGCCAGCAAGGACAGTGAGGAGGAGGAAAAGCAGCAGCAACAAAAGATCCCAAAATTGACCCTTAGCCTCTTTGGGGGTGCGTGGCTTTAGCACATGCCAAACCATGCCAGGTCCTGATGCTGGGATGCACCGCTTTTGTCCTGGTAACTTTTTACATTTTTTTAAAGTTTCAATCAACGAAAGTCATTCTCTCAATTTTTTGCATTCAAGACTAGCAATTTTGTGGCAGGACCAGGGTTAGGGTTAGAATCTGTCGTATACTGTACCTAACAGAATCTGCTTCAAGAGGTGTAGTTTGGTAACGTCCATTCAGGAAAGGCAAGTGATTTAGTGAATGAAATGATGGCTAACCATACTTGGGTACCTTATGTTTCTAGGGAAATTTCCCTTGTTAGTGACCAGCCAGGGAATCCTCCATAATCCATATTTTCTTTCATAGTGAAGAGTGAAGATGAGGATGGGAGCCACCCACATGGCAAAGGAGGAGAGGAAAGCAAGGATCACAAGCGCTCCAAACGCCCACGTACCATCCTCACCACGCAGCAGCGACGGGCATTCAAGGCCTCCTTTGAAGTCTCCTCCAAACCCTGCCGGAAGGTCAGGTCGAGTTTCTTTCTTTCTTTCTTTCTTTCTTTCTTTCTTTCTTTCTTTCTTTCTTTCTTTCTTTCAAGGGATTCCACCCCAACTGTGAGTGGAGGGATGGCTGACCTGCGGTCCTAAGAACATAAGCACTCTAATTTTGAAACCACCGTTTTTAATCATCGTTAGCAAAGCCTTTTCTGTAGCGTGTTGTTTGGGAGAAGGACCCAAAGGTGCTTTTTCAAGAGGCAAGTGGACTTCCTTGCTTTTCTTCAAAGAAAAACAAGAAAGTCCACCTGCCTCTTGAAAAAGCACCTTTGGGACAACCATGACCTGGATCACTGAGAATCTCCATAAACACTTGGGGGAAAGAGAGGACAGAATGTCAGGGAGAGTAATTCTCACATACTTTAGGCTTTAGTCACAACGGGCAGATGATCAGTAAAGAGAAACAGAAAATATTAGTATATTGTTGCCATCCAGTGGTCCCCTAGCCCAGATATAGTTGTCCTAGTCCAGTGGTGGCGAACCCATTCAGAGCCCTCTCTGTGGGCACGTGCGCCATGCCCCAGAGATGGGAACTGACCCTCTTCAACCAGCCGCCCACTACCTGGCCGAGGTCCCACATGGCTGGATGCATCCCAGCACCCATGCGCTTACTAGCCTCTGTGTGCAGGGGCTGATGGTGTTAGGCAGCAGCCACCCCGGCCCCTGCCTCACCTTTTCCTGTGACAATGACACCCCCGCCCTGCCTTGCCTCGCCTCACCCTGCAGGACGAGCCTCCTGCCCACCGCCCCACCTGCCAGAGACCCCCTGGATCTCCCCCAACCCTGCCTGGCCTCCACAGACATCCCTCCCCATGACCAACATTGAGGTGATCACACCCACATTGGCCACACCCACCCAATCTGCCATGACCACCACAGCCACACCCATCCAGTGGGCCACACCCACCTGGCACCCGACAATAAATAAGTGGGTTTTGGATTGCAGTTTGGGCACTCGATCTCTAAAAGGTTCGCCATCACTGTCCTAGTCTCTGGTGTCACCTACTCTTGCATCAACCCTACCATCCCACCATTCAGTCCCTCACAATTAGACCAGAGGGAGGGTGGTTCTCAAGAGAAAAAAAGATTTTCCACCATAACAGGTTTCTCTCTAAAAGACGACATCAGGAGCGCCTCCTCAGATCCACCACTGTGTCTATTTTCTGTTTTGCACACTGACTATCTCTTTTCAATTTCTTTCCCTCTTTTTTTAAAAAAAAATCCTGTGGACTTATTGCTCCCTTCCTTCCTAAATTCTTTCAGTTCCTGCTATTTTAAGAGAGTGGCCAGTTCAACCTTTACCCTTTAATTGCTTTACTAGAATGCAAGCAATCTACCACTTCATCCATCTTCCCATAACTCCCCTGCATAGCCCAATCAGATTCTGTTTTCTTTCCTCCACTTATCTTAGGGCATCTATTCTACTTAACCTATTGTCCAACTGCCAAAAAGGAGGTGATGAGCTTTACTTCTCCCATCTCCCACAATGGTGTGGGATAGTCCAATATTTCATTTATCACACTCAGATGCTAGTATTTGAGCTGCTGGATGCAAACAAAAACAAAAAAACCTCTGCCTGTTCCTGTCTTAAATATCACCTAAGCTCTGAGCCTTTCTTTCCTTGGAAGAAACATACATTTGCTAGATTTCTGATAATACATTGAAAGATACCACGTTTATTTTATTTATTATTTCAATGTTGAGGCCACCTGATTGGGCGGCTGGCAGATTAAAAAAAATAGGGCTGCCAACTGCCTCCACGGCCCGCCACAGATCGCCCAGGTGGACCAGCAGTGCCATGGCAACCACACCTTCTGCCTGCACAGCATCAACTGTGTGCGACAGGGCGCGAGGGTGGAGTCTTCTCCCCACTGCCTGGCTACCATGTCCTTAGCTGCGCTGCTCTGGTAGGCCGTGCTCAGGGGCAACTCTCCTCCAGGGGGGCTGCTGGTGAGGAGGGGGCTGTGGGGAAGGCAGGGCTGGGGCGACGGCACATGTGCCCACAGAGAGGGCTCTGAGTGCCACCTCTGGCACGCATGCCATAGGTTCGCCACCACTGCCCTAAACCAATGGATGACCTCATCCAGCAGTTTCATGTAGATGGTAAGCAAAATAAGAAAATGAGTTGAACCCTGCATCACCTCATAAGTGAGGAGTCATGGAGCACAATGTACCCAAAGTCACCATTTGTACAGAGGGCTTCCTTATTGTCACATGAATTTAGCTTTTTAATGACTCCTTTTCTATTTTCTATAATGGGCAGGTAAGGGAGACATTAGCAGCTGAAACTGGTTTGACTGTCCGTGTAGTGCAGGTCTGGTTCCAGAATCAAAGAGCCAAGGTGAGTGATCATTTCTGAGTTTTGCATTAAATGACAGTTTATCTCCAGCCAAACAGAGGCAGACAAATGCCTGCTTATCCCTAACTGTGAGCTAACTCATTTCCCAAACCTAGAAGTTCTTCAACAGTACAAATTCCAAAACAAACATGATTGTTGACAGGGATATCTAACTCCTAGAATTTGGGAAGCCCTGGTTTAGCCATGTACAAAATGAGAATTTATTATTATTATTTTTTTTTTGTAAAAAAAATTTATTTCAATTTTGCAATACAATACAATCATAAAAATACTTCAGATAAAAAATAAAACAAATTAATACACCCCATTTTTGGTATTGCTCACCCATTTTCTCCCAAACCGCATCCACCCTCTAACCAACTTACCTCTTTCCCAAAATGAGAATTTATTATTGTGGGTACCAACTTTATAAACAACCCTACAGCTATTTGTTTAACAGCAGTTTCATCTGGGGAAGAATCACTAGGGGGTAACATTTTATTTCATGTTGTAAATACTTTCTACTTCCATTAATACTGAGGGCATTTTTAGTTGTTCATCAGCAAAGACTCTCTCTGCATCTCCCAAAATGTAAATAACAGACTAAAACAGTTGCCAGCTTCCCCAGTTTGAATTGTTGTGACAGGCACAACAGTATGTAAGGACCCTCTTTTGCTCATCAGATAGCCGTTGAAAGGGTAATGGTGTGTGATGATGGTAATCAGAAAAAAAAAAAATCCTGATCATGAGTGCTATTAAACAATGGAACTGCCCAACCTCCTGGACTGACAGGAATCTCATCCCTGAAGGTTTTCAGACAACATTTAGGCTAGATCATCTGGATGATCTGAGGATTCCTGTCCTGTGCTAAAAGTTCTCCAAGACCCTTTCCAATCCTCTGATTTTATGACCTGGGAGGTAATGGATCTACAAAGTAGGGGCAAGTCAAAGTCCACCTTTTCTCCCCAAAGTCCCCCTTTGTTCAATTTCAGAGGGCATTCTGTCCTTCTTTTCCCCCCTTTATTGTACACCCACTCAGATGCATCCAAACACCTCTTTGCAGATGAAAAAGATAGCCCGCAGGCAGCAGCAGCAACAACAGCAGCAGCAACAGGAGCAAGAGCAGCTGGGAAATCCCCGTCTAGGGGCAGGGAGGGGAAATGGACGCAGCAGCAGACAGAGCAATGAGGACAGTGAAGGTAAAAACATCTCAAGAATAACAGAATTCCTAGAGATAGCTTGGTCTTCTTCTGAGCCATGTTGGTTTCTCATGTGTACATTCAGAAACTGGGACCATCTCAATTTTGTATTCATCTGTTTCAAATGTGCATTTTTCAATGGATTTATTTATTTATTTATTTATTAAAACCCTGCCTTTTAAATCTGCCCTTTAGACAAGGGTGTGATAAAAGGCAACTGAATCCACAGGTGGAGAAAAACACGGGAAGTATTTCAGAAGGAACCTTCCCTAGTTTTCTGGAGAGTGCAAAGAGAGGAAGGGAGAAATACTTTCAGTTTTGCAAGATTGTGTTTAATGTAAGCTGAGGGCTCCTGGTCATCTTTCTTGTATGGACCATTTCAAAGGGCTAACACATTTGCTCCTGAAATAGACGTTTTATAAGCTGGGGGGAGGAAGAGGTTTTGAATTGCAAATTACATCACATCATTTGGAGAAGATAGAAATCCAAAAGAGAGGTGGTCCCAATCTAGCGTGTGACGTTCTGGAGCCCAAGTATTCCTGCAAACTATCCCTTGACATCTGCTGGGATTTTGCCCCACTTAGCATTTGGATATACACATATAAACCCCCAGCTTCCAGAATCTACTTAGAAGAATGCTACTGCTCCCAACCCTAATTTCCCACAGTCCATCTAAAAACATAAAACATGCTCACCAGAACAGCTGTGTTAACTACCTAACTCAGTGACGGCGAACCTTTTAGACACCGAGTGCCCAAAAACTGCTCTGCCCCTGCCCCGCCCACTCTGCTCTGCTCCCTGCTCAGCCTACTCTGCCCCGCCTCCTGCCCCACCCACTCTGCCACACCCCCACACCCCGCAGGGCCACCTACTGCCTCCGTGCCCCACCACGGCAGATTGCTCAGGCGGGCCTGCAGCACCATGGCGGTCATGCAGCAGATGATGCTGCAGGGCACAGGGGGCGGAGTCTTGTACCTGCTGCCATGTCCTTGGCTGCACTGCTCCGCACAGGCTACAACTGGGGGCGACTCTCCTCTGGGGGGGGGGGCTGCTGGTGAAGAGGGGATTGTGGGGGGGAGGCGAGGCTGGCGTGACGGCGTGTGTGCCCACAGAGAGGGCTCTGAGTGCCACCTCTGGCATGTATGCCACAGGTTCACCACCACTGACCTAACTCAAACATGTAGGTGTGATTAAAATCCTTGCACAATCCTGCTTGGGATCAAGTATCTGGTATATCCAGATCGGTAAGTTATCTTTTTCTGACAGGTTACATATAGTTTAGATAAGATTTTCTCACTGGGAGTTTGTCACCTGTTAAGATCCTGCCTGTTGAAGACAGGGAACATAAGTCAGAAATGAAATTGGATAAGATAGATTTGAGGCCTCAGAAGCATTATTTTAATCTAATTTTCCCACACAGATAAAGAATTACATGCTAACATTTCATATTGGGGAGATACAAAATATCCTGAAAGGTGCATGTGTGGGGGGAGGGGGGAGGGGAACTAGCTCTATACTTATTGGAAGCCAACTGGGAAGATGGCAAATGGTGATCATGTGACTCTGTGACCTTGAAACCATCACAGATACATGCCAGTTGCCAAGTGCCCAAATTTTGATCACCGTGACTATGAAGATGTTGTGAGGGTTGTAAGTATGAAGACTTTTTTTTTCACTTTTTTTTCAGTGCCACTGTAACGGTCACTAAATGAATGATTGTAAGTCAAGCAAAAGCTCTAGTCCAACATCTCCTTGCTGTGATAAGATCTAACAACCCTTTTTCAGGCAAACAAATTTAATATTCAAAAAAACGTCTTCATGGTTCAATTACATTACAGTTTCCAATGCAGAGCAGGCGGCAAATAACAGGGAACAAAACTGGCTCAATAATTCTTGTGCTTAAAAGGAGAGTAAGATATAACATACATTAAATAGGAAAAATAATGGGTACCAACATGTACAAAATGTACAAAGGTTTGAGAACCAGTAGTGATTGTGTACAAGCTCTGTATTTTAATTAAACAGTGTTTGCAATGACTGAACATTGTAGAAGACGACGTTTTTAGGCTTATATGTCCAGTTTAATTATCATGGTTTCCAACCATCCTGCAATTTGGGAATTGCACAGGTTTTATTTTATTTTATTTTGTATTGGTGCTTCTGTTAGGGAGAAGCCTATCATCCCCCGTAATTCCCTGGGAAATGCCATGACAGTTACAGTACAGCAACATTAAAGCCAGACAAGTTTTACCAAAGCCCTGTCCAAAGCTACAGTTGGCTTCTAAGCAACTTAGGAGTGTCCGCTCATGATCACCAAATTTTTATCTGAAATATGAAAGCCAGAAACACACTTAAGAATAAATAAAAATGAAATTCCTGCAATCAAGAGAGCACTATAAAAGCAATACCTGACCATTTTCAATTTCAACCAGATACCTTGGGTAAGAAGTATTGAGCCATCATTTTGGTCATTATAACCTATATTCCGCTACGTCTATATATTTGTTTTTCCTCCATTTGCTAGTTTAAAAAAAAAAAAAGAATACCAAGCATGGCACACCCATCCAATAAGTCTCACCTGATCTTGGAGAAAGTACCTTCAATTGTTGTTCATTGTTCTTTATAAAAAGTATTATTGTTGTTAATGTTTCCTAATGATGGTTTGTGCCTTCTTTCCTATTGCTTCGCCAACTGCTCAATAGATAGCGCCAGTGTGCATGGAATAGATGGGCTCATGGTACCTTACTCCAGGATTGCCCAGCAGCAGCTGCTTCCCTTGGATCAGAACAGCTACAGCACAGACTTGTACCGGCAAGGACTCACCCCACCCCAGTTGCCAGGAGACCATCTTCATCCATACGGTGAGCTCCCTCATCTTCCTCAAATTCCTTTCAGTTTCTCCCTTTCAGCTATCCAACTACTGTATCACCTTGTTCTGCTATATCTGCAACGTGCTTTTATTTCTTGCCAGCGCTCTTCTAATGTGGTTGCATAATGATTACGTCTCCCCAAAGGAAGGCAACCTTTGGCTACCTTAGAACCATCAGTCCCTTTTTCTGTTTCTATTTTTTTTTCCTCCCTTCAAAGGCTATCGGTGAACATCTATCAGGCCGTGAATTGTACCTAATGCATATGTCATACCTGACATATGCATTTACCCGACACTGAAAGTGGGACTTTTGTATTGGCCTCGAAAACAAGAGGCTGAGGAGCAGAGGGAGGAGGAGGCGGTGGCTGTCCTAGGCAATCTTTTGCTCCGGAATGGGACAAATTGCCATAGCCAACTCACCACAACCAACTCGCCACAGGACAACTCGCTGCGGGACAACTCGCTGTGCGACAACTCGCTACGGGGCAATTGAACAATTCCATTTAATTATTTAAAATAAATTTAAAAATATTTTAGTTTTTGCCATTTACATTTTATTCTGTCCCTCCTTTTCCATCCTTCCTTCAATGAGTCTATTCCCCTATTTCTTTGATATCGTACTGTGTAACGCTTGTCCTGCAGTGAGTTGTCCTGCAGCGAATTAGCTGTGGCGAGTTGTCCTGCAGCAAGTTGACCACAACAAGTTGGCTGTGGTGAGTTGGCCATGATGAGATGGCCATGGCAAATTGGCCATAGCGAGATGGCCATGGCAAGTTGGCCATAGAGAGCTGGCCATGGTGAGATGGCCATGGCAAATGGTCATAGACCCCTTTTACTCTGATTAGTTCACCTGTATGGAGAGAGCTACATCAACAGTGAGATATAGTAGCAGCTATCAGCCTTCTGGGTGAAAGGGGGGAACTGGTTCCTTGCCTTAAGCCATCACTAGTTGGAGCAAGGAATTACAGAATCCGTGATGCCATACTAATTGAAGACCTACAAGAATCTGGGGGTGGCTGCATTTTCTGACCAATCATGTTTCTCTCTCAGCGAGGAACATGATTTACTCTAGCTTGAGAACCTTCATCTTCCCAAGCAATGTTTACCATCTCTTTTCTTTTCCATTTAGATTCGGAAGGTGTTTTCCATGACATGGACAGCGACACGATCGGCCATTTGGGCGACTGCCTGCTGTCTGCGGCTGAGGCCAACCTCCTGCAGACACGAGTGGGCAATCCAATCGACAGGCTGTACTCCATGCAAAACTCCTACTTTACCTCCTGACCCTTGGTTCTTACGCCTGATACGAGCCACTCTGGGTGTAGAAGGGGGTAAATGGCATGGAGGGGCAAGACCAATCCATCGGGCAGAACTCTTTGGACCCTTTAACACTAATAAGGCATGTGAGGCTGTCAGGTCTGTATGTGATTCTTCCTGGGCATTGAGAATTGAACCATGGAGGACCTTGCTGCACTGCCTTTCCCGTCCCCTCACCCAATGTCCTCTCGATGGGCAGTTTCATATTGTGTAGCTGTACGTCTAGCATCGTGTTCTTTGTGTTTAAACTGCAGGGCGTTACACCTAGTTGATACATCAAGCACAAAAGCAGGAGGTAAGGTTGCTCTTGGTAAGGTTTCCATGCTTTGGGGGTGCTTTTTCTCAACTTTTATTGACATGGAAAATTCCCTTCTCTTGAATGAGCTGATGTACAGATTAGCCAGAAAGAAAACAAATCTCCCTAAAGTAAAGTATCCCATAAGAGTACTTTGACATTAAAAACATCGATTAAGTCATATTAACTGCTAGGGCTTGCCACCTATAAAGATTCTGGGATTTCTAATTTGTTAAAAAAGAGAGTGAAGTTCTGAACTCAGAATCCCAGCCTGCTCACAGAACTGCAATTTAGAAGGTTCTTCTTGGAAAATGAAACAGTTTATCATTGCTATATATTATACCTCCTCCAGATAGCTGAGAGATTCTATGGACTACTGAGAAAGGATCTAGATTAAGGACAGACAGCATGGGGAACTATGGATGTTGTTTCTCTAATCCGCTCCAAAACCCTGGTCAATGATTTGCTATGATGAACATGATAAAGTTTAAGAACACCTGGAAAGCCATAGATCTCCCCTCTTGAGATAGCTGGAAAACTACCTCCATGGTACTCAATGTGCACTGCACCGGTTTCTGCCCAATCTACCTTTGAATATTTAAGGACCCTCCATAAATCTCTCTCACTACAATGCAGCAACTGCTTCATCCCTGAGCAAGTACTGGACTGTTGCTTTTTCTCATTTATCACATTGATATACTTTCTGCAACACTGAAAAACTATACCTCCTCACCAATCTTTCTTGTTCAACTTTGCTGTGGTCCTAAGACTCCCCAGCCAGTGCTGTGTCTCCTCGATCTGAAAGAATTTTAGAACATGGCACCCAGTTAAAGACATTTTTGAAAGCTATGCAGAATAGCTCAACTCTTCAGAATGGGCTCCTTAGACAGATTCTAAGGATGCTCTTCCTAAGAACATGACTGAAACTCCCTGACCTCTTGGCTGCTTCTGAGCCATAGAGACTTTCCATTAATTATCTGACCCTAGCTGAAGACTTCATGCAAGATGGCCTCAGTCATGCTCTTTCATTGGTCAAAGCAGCTCAGAAGACATCGTAGCAATGCTTTCTTTTGCCACTATAGCATGCAATCTGGATCGTCATTACCAAGAAGGGACCCCAAAAGGGCACGCTTTTGTTCTGCCCCTCCCCCCCCAAAAGGGCACACTTGTCTCCTGGATCTCTGAGCCACTTTTACATTCTGCAGATCTATGAATTGGATGGAAACATTTTTATTGCTGACATATCCGGATGACATAAAAAAAACCTCTGTAATACACCAAGAGGTGTATCATTTTAGCCAGACACATTTGCTCTACAACAGATTACCAGGAGATAATCTGATATGGAGCAAATGTGTCTGGCTAAAATGATTTTTCTAAAAGCAGACTTCTCTCTTTTAGGCTGACCACAGAGTTCACGGGTAGCCAGCCTAAAAATCAGTGGCATACATGTTAACCAGCAATGTTAACATAAGCAGTGTTAACCAGCAGCTCATTAAAAAGGAGATCCTAGGGCTATAACTATGTATGAAGGGCTGGGGTGGGGAAAATTCAAATGTATACATTTGTGGTAAAAGGCTGAGCTCTTTTAAATGCAAATCCTTTGCCCTGTTTTGAACTTTTAACTCAAGGCACTTTCAACCAGTTTGGCAAACAACAAGAGGCTGCAGCCATGACAGTAAAAAACTGTCTGGAAGGCATCACACTGCTTATTCCTGTCTTAAAATATTTAACAGGGCGGCGGGCCCAGTCACAATTGTTCACTATTTCTTCTACTGTAGCTGATCTTACTGGACAGCTGAACAAAGCAAACGGACTGTTGTCCCTTCGTAGTCATTATGTGCCAACATCTGCTATGTACACAGGGACAGTTACATCTAAGAGGAAGAAGAGAGACGTATAGGTAATCCACACTTAATGATGAATGGGTCAGGCAACTTCACCACTAAGTGATGTGGTTCTTAAGTGAACTGCTTGTTGGGAACCTTCTAGGAACTGTGCAAATGGCAATTACATGACCAGGGGACACTGCGACAGTTGTAAATACCTGCCAGTTGTGAGCATCCTAATCTCAATCACGTGACCATAGGGGACACTGCAAGTGTCTTAAGTGCAAGGACCATTTGTAAAATTACTCCTTCGGCACCATCATAACCTCAAAGGTCTGCTAAACAGGGCAGTCACTAAGCAATAGTACCTGTATTATAAACAAATAAAAGACCACAGTGCACCTCTCTGTAATCACAGAGCCTGGCTTTGGATTAGAATGGGGCACTTAATCACAGAAATCCTAACTTAGCTATCACTGTGCCCCTTAACCCAGCACTTCCAATTATCTGTGCTTCACTTTTTTAAAAGTTTATTTTTCTATATGAATTTGCACCTATATAGCCTCTCAGTCCTTTAAAATCTCAAAGCTATCCTGGGGCTGTGCCTGGCAAATACAGGAGATGGGTAGTCCTTGACTTACAACCACAACTGAGCCCAGAAATTATGTTGCTAGGTGAGAAATTTGAAATGAAGTGAATCACTGCAGTAATTAAATGGGTAACATGATTGTCAAGTGAATCTGGCTTCCCCCACTGACTTTGTCAGAAGGTTGCAAAAGATGATCACACAATCCCAGGACACTGCAACTGTCATAAATATGAACCAGTTGCCAAGCATCTGAATATAAATCATGTAACCCTGGGGATGGGGCAACTGTCGTAAGTGTGAAAAATCATCAGAAGTCACTTTTTTCAGTCCTGTTGTAACTTTGAACAGTCACTAAACAAACCGTTGTAAGTTGAGGACTACCTGAATTACAGGAGAGACAGCCAGATTGCTACTGGGCAGAGACAATTTCTGCTTGAAACTGCAAACCCCTTTTTAAGAGCGCAGAATAACTGATTATAAAAAGGGTACCAGCATAAGGGTGTCACCTCTCAATCTATTATGTCTGAAGTGTTTTTTTTTTTAAATCAAAGATACTCCTCAAGGTAGGATAGCTATTTAAGCCCCTTCCTTTTTCTTTCGGTTCACGCACTGTTTTTTTAATGTGTGAAGCTTAGAGTTGTATCTTCAGAGGTTTGGCTGCAACAAGCTGCTGCAGAAAACCTACACCGGACTGACTGCTTGGCAACATCTCTGCCCCACATTATACCAGCCACTATTTCTGGTTGAGGATCAAAATGCTTGTGATCTGCATCCTGCTAGAACTGGCTGAAACAGGACACGTTCCCATACACAGATGCAGGATTACAATATTTAGTAAAGTTGAAAGGCCGTTATCAGCACAGTGGTTAAGGCAACAGGCTAGAAACTGGGATGCTGAGGTCAAGTCCTGCTTTGAGCATGAAGTTAGTTAGATCTTGGACCAGTTCCCTAGTCCTAGGAAGGAGGCAAGGGCAAACCACTTCCAGAAAACTTTGCCAGGAAAAGTGCAGGGGCCTGTCCAGGCAGTTACCAGGAGTTAACACTGACACGAAGGCACTACTGTACACATACCAAAAAGAAATCCTTCCCAAGACAGAGAACTGAAAACATGAAACTATTGTGGCATGCATGGAACAGCCAGATGAATCATGCCCTCTGTGTATGTTTATACAGCTGTAGCTTCCTCCAGAAATATTTGCACTAGGTTTGGGTATAGTGAGTTTTGAAAAGGATTTCTGTGAAGCAAGCACACAGTAATCAGTGCTCTCCAGATGTCATGCCTGCTGAAAAGAAGAATCTCACCTTTTCATGCCTGTTGTGATCCTCTGTCGTGTTGTGCTGATGTCTTTTGCATGTGCATTTGGAAATTAAAACAGCGAAAAACTAATGCCTTGCCTTCCTACGGTACACTGTTTGCATTTTCAGATCTTTGACATTCATGTTGAGCATGGGTAAAGTTCTAAAAAGAGTTCCTTGTACACAGCTGGACATTAGCAGTATTTTCACGCTAGAGTTGGTTGCTTTATGGAAAGATTTACCAATTATTCTGGGCACTGGTTGTAGAAAAAGACAACTGAACAACTTACAGCTCATCTCAAATCTCCCAAGCTTCTGTGGCAGCCTACAGGGATCTGTCCCCTTTTCAAAACAATTTTCCTACCCCCACCACCCCCACCACCATCCTGGGGCCAGGATCATCACCCCAAAATTTTGCAGAGCAATTTTCCTGCTGTGACATGAAAAAACAATCCTGGATATCCTCTCTATTTCCTGATCCCAGGGTGCCTCTAAGTTCTAAAGATTGGCCTAGAAAAATACTTTAGCAAATCTGTAGCTTCACCTTGGAGCAAAATATCCATGTCACGCAAAAGAGGTATATGTGTGTGTATGGGGGGGGGGGTGTTAAAAATGCTTGAGAGTGGCTGCTGCTACTACTAATTCAGCAGTTGTGTTTTGACCTTTGGAAATTCTTCATATGAAACCTTTGACAATACAACAATATCAGCACCCAAAGAATTTATAAAAGAAGTAACCTGCATGATGTTGTACAACGTTTGAGTTAGGGAACAAGGCTGGAAGAGTGATCCTTAGCAATGCAGAGGCATTTGGCCAGAGAAAGCAGCAGTTGTGCAGGCCTGAGATTTCTGAGGTAAAGCTAAAGAACAGGGAACCTTTCCTATCCAGAAGCCAATAGCTGAAAGCAGTATTTTCAGAAAACCAGAGCTGGTCATTTCACATCAATAATTATTCTCGTATCATCTATTCCATGGCAGCTATATTTCTGAGTAATGTTTGGGAACAGGCTAGTGTGGGCAAGTCACTTAGTACCAGTTGAGCAGGGAAGTGGGGGGTAAATTCTGTTTTGACCATCCTGCTGTTTCCATGACTACTGTCTTGGAAAATTGCAGGGCATAGAGGACCACAAACTACTAACCATCTTACAACTTTCAGTACTTTAAACAGCTTATACAGGGAATCCTTGAGTTATGACTGTAATGGAGCCTGGCCCATCATGGTCATAAGTTGTGATGGTTGTAAAATGAGTCACCCATGCAATTGACCTGATTTTACAATCTTTTTGTGGTCATTAAGCGAACCAATGGTTCACTGTAGGCCGGTTTTGTCAAAAACCAGCATTTACTTTCATTCTGTGGTATTAATACTTCCCGTGATCTTGATTCTATCCCTCTGTTGATGCAGCCTAGCATTGTGTTGGCTTTTTTGGCAGCTGCAGCACACTGCTGGCTCATATTTAAATGATTGCCCACTGGGACTCCGAGATCCCTCTCGCAGTTGCTACTATTGAGCAAGGTACCATCTATACCAGTGATGGCAAACCTTTTAGAGACCGAGTGCCCAAACTGCAACTCAAAACCCACCTATGTATTGTTGGGTGCCGGGTGGGCATGGCCCATTGGGTGGGTGTGGCCATTTGGGTGGGCATGGCCCATTGTGTGGGCGTGGCCACAGTGGTAACGACAGACTGGGTGGGACTAAAAGGTTCAATCAATCAATTCCAACTTTGCAAGATCTTTTTTTTCCCACAAGAAGTTGAAATTGATTGATTGAACTTTTTTTTTTTTTTTTTTGCACACAGTGGTGGAGGCCTAAAGCAAAAAGGTTTTATAAAACCCAGCTGAATGCCTAGGACTCGGGTAACGGCACGTGTGTCCACAGAAAGGGTTCTGCGTGCCACCTGTGGTATGCGTGCCATAGGTTCGCCACCATGGACCTTTGATCATTTGGTTTTTCTTGCCTAAATATAGAGCCTTACTTTTTTCACCACTGAATTTCATTTTGTTAGATAGCACCCAGTGTTCAAGTCTGTCCAGATCCTCCTGTATCTTAAGCCTGTCTTCTGGAGTGTTGGCTATTCCTGCCAGCTTGGTGTCGTTTGCAAATTTGATGAGTTCCCTATCTACCCCCTCATCCAAATCATTGATGAAGATGTTGAAGAGCACTGGGCCCAGAACAGAGCCCTTAGAGCACCACACTACATACTTTCCTCCATGTAGATGCAGTTCCATTGAGGACCACATGCTGAATACAGCCAGTCAGCCAACTACGAATCCATCTGGTGATGATGCTACTAACCCACATTTTTGTATCTTATCAAGTAGTAGGTTGTAGTCTACTTTATCAAATGCCTTACTGAAGTTCAAGTAAATTATATCCACAGCATTCCTCTGGTCCACTAATTTTGTCACCTGGTCAAAGAATGCAATAAGATTTATCTGGCATGATCTGTTTTTGACAAACCCATGTTGGCTTTTGGTAATGGCTTTGTTTGCCTCTAGGTGTTTGCTGATTTGTTGTTTGATTATCTTTTCCAGAATCTTCCAGGTATTGAGGTCAGGCTCATAGGTCTGTAATTTCCTGGATTCACACTTTTCCCTGTCCAAAACAAGTTCTTCATCTCGGACCACAATCCCCTGCTTTTTTGAGTTATCATCATCCCAACTACCTTGACCTGTCTCCTTAGTGTCCCTATTAAAGTCAGCAAGGGCATTGTATCTGTTATGCAGGGACACAGCGTTATCTACAAATACTTCCATTCATTTAGCACCTTTTCTTTAAAAATATAACTATGTAGCAGACCAGCAAAGGCAATAATTTGTCATGTGGATTCTATTTTGTTTTGCATGATTTAATCCTTTAGAATGTGTAAGCCTTCTTGATCCTGTACTGGGTGGCACAAATACACCTATTACTTTGTTTGAAAAGCAGTAGCAACCTAAGTAGATTATTATCCACCTGGAGATATTCCATTCCTCACGTAGGAATTGGACAACATGGCCTCATTTTAGAGGAGCAAAGGGAGTGGGGAAAGACATACCATGCAAAGCAACACAGCAGCCAAAGAAGCCTAATATTCACCTACGTGAGACCAGAGGGCTTCCAATGTAAAATAAGATATAGCCAGGGAGTAAGATATAGCAATAGCACTTAGACTTATATACCGCTTCAGAGTACTTTACAGTCCTAAGCATATTGCCCCCCCCCCAACAATCTGGGTCCTCATTTTGCCAACCTTGGAAGGATGACTCAACCTTGAGCCAGTGAGAATCGAACTGCCAAACTGCAGGCAGCCGGCAGTCAGCAGAAGTAGCCTGCAGTACTGCATTCTAACCACTGCGCCACCAGGGCTCATAGCCAGAGAGAACCACTCCAGAATATCATCCTTACCATCGAAAATGCTCATTTTATTTTTAACAAAGATTGAAAACAAATTGAATTAAACGTGTTTAGAGTGGCTGGCTTATGTCTACTACTGAGAAGGAAATCTACAGACCTACATGGAGGAGAAAATCTGAGGTCCACCACTGACCGCTGTCAGGATATGGTTATCTCCTGATAACTTATTCTAGTTTGAGACTCTGGAAGGGTCCAGTGTAGAATATCTAAACAGAATCTGGTGCTGATTGTGCTTATTATTGCTCACAAAATTAGGGCCCATAATCATAAAGAAACCCATGGGCACTTTGTCAAGCCTTTTTCAATTGATTCCCCCACCCCCCCACCCCCTTTAGAATCAGGACATGCAGGCATCTGAATTCTCACCAAGAACATATGTTCAGTATGTGTATGTTCACATACTTCATAACCAGTTACATGAACGGGTGTGTGCATTTGCTCCTTTACTTGAGTTCATTCGTTAGCTAATGTACTAAAGAAGCCATTTTAAAAATGCTGCAAACCTTTAAATGTTTGGCGTTGACTCTTTGCACCATCCACCTCCTCTGCTCACTCTCATAGGTATTGGCTATATAGGACTTTTCTTGGAGGCAAGCCATTGTGTGTTGATGTGCGTGTGCACCTGTGTGTGCATGTGCGGACACAAATGGAATGCAGTTTCCTACACTAGCCTCTCTGCGGATTTAAAAAAAAAAGCCTTCCCTCACCAGCAAAGAGGATTTTGACACCAAGGGGCCTTGTGATGATCGATGGACATTCTCAATGGCAAACAAGAAACGGTGTGTAAAATGAGGACATTTTCTGCATGAGGAATTAAGGCAAAGCTGACAAGTTGCTTGGCAGGAGATGGCAATTCAAGAGTGCAGTGGTTCAAGGCAATATTCCCGTTCTGGTCTGATGTTGTGGGATGGGGGTGGGGAGTTGACCCAGAGGAAGAGGGAGGACATAAAACAAGTCACTCTTCTGCACTAATGCCTATTAACACTACCGCTCATTTAGAAAAATTCATTAATTAGCTTTCATGTGATTTATGTTCCTCCAGAGAGGAAATGGAGGTGAAGAAAGAGCCTAAGAAACCTCCACCTTCAGTATGATTTTTTTTCCAAAAGTTTTCTATGTATTGGAGGCTACTTCCCAGAGACTGGTAATGGTAAATGGGGATCATATGCCTTTGAAAAGATATGCAGATGATACCACTCTTAATGGCAGAAAGTGAAGAGAAACTAAAGAGCTTCTTGATGTGGGTGAAGAAGGAGAGTGCAAAAGTTGGCTTGAAACTCAACATTAAGAAAAGCAAAATCATGGCATCCATCCCTCTCAATTCCTGGCAAATAGATGGGGAAGAAATGGAGGTAGTGACAGATTTTATCTTCCTGGGCTCCAAGATCACCACAGATGGGGACTGCAGCCAAGAAATTAAAAGACGCTTGCTCCTGGGGAGGAAAGCTATGGCAAATCTAGATAGCATACTAAAAAGCAGAGACATCACCCTGCCAACAAAAGTGCATATAGTCAAGGCCATGGTTTTCCCAGTTGCAATGTATGGCTGTGAAAGTTGGACCATAAGAAAGGCTGAGCGCAAAAGAATTGAGGCCTTTGAACTATGGTGCTGGAGAAGACTCCTGCGAGTCCCTTGGACTGCAAGGCGTTCAAACCGGTCAGTCCTAGAAGAGATCAACCCCGACTGCTCTTTAGAAGGCCAGATCCTGAAGTTGAAACTCAAGTACTTTGGCCACCTAATGAGAAGGAAGGACTCACTGGAGAAGAGCCTAATGCTGGGAAAGATTGAGGGCAATAGAAGAAGGGGACGACAGAGAATGAGGTGGCTGGATGAAGTCACTGAAGCAGTAGGCGTGAGCTTAAATGGACTCCAGAAGATGGTAGAGGACAGGAAGGCCTGGAGGAACGTTGTCCATGGGGTCACAATGGGTCGGATACGACTTCGCAACTAACAAAAACAACAATAAATGCCTTTGAAACTAAGGGAACAGAACAAATGGCTTCCTACTTTTAAGGACCCATCCCACCCCTAAATGCCAAAACTCCCAGCTAGCCGGTTCTTATTTCGCTGGCAGATACTGCATTCTCCACAAATCTGAAGGACTCCAGCTTGGAGGTAGTTGTGTTAATAGACAAGAGTCAATTAATGATTGCCCTGTTTAGTGACTGTTTAAAGTTATGACTGAAAAAGGCAATCAGTTAGCAAGAACTACCTATATTTCCTTCCAGGATAAGCCGCACTATATACCATGTTTCCCCGAAAATAAGACCCAACCGGAAAATAAGCCCTAGCATGATTTTTTAGAATGCTCGTAATATAAGTCCCACCCCAAAAATAAGTCAAATCGAAGATCGCCAGCCAGACGGATGCACTTAATACAATATTTCCCTGAAAATAAAACCTAACCGGAAAATAAGCCCTAATGTGTCTTTTGGAGCAAAAATTAATATTAGACCCAGTCTTATTTTCGGAGAACACGGTAGAAGGAAGAAAAGGAATAGGAAATATTAACCAAAAGCATGAGATAAGAAAAAAAAATGAAACTATCTATGTTCAGTTTACATTTAACACCAATTGTACTTCTTCACATCTTTCAACCCTTGCAAATTATCCTTGCTTCCATAAAGCTTCACATAATACGTTTTTAATATTTCACTCTTTTGGGGGAATTCATTAATTCAATCCCACCACAAATGTCTTGGATTTTCCCCTTTCTCTTCACCTATGTATTCTTACCTCATGTATTTCTTTTGCAATTTGATGCTCATTCATTCTTGGTAAGTGAGGTGACCTTGATGGAAATATGCAAGAAGCCTTACTTAAGCAAAAGGGGCTGAAACATCTTTTAAGTCTTCAGAAATGAGATTATATTTGGAAGCGGCTCAAGCAGGTGCATCCCTAATTCATAGTATATGAAGAAGAATAAGAAAAGAAGGTGGAGGAAATACAGCATACTTAGGTTTTCAAGACTCCGTTAGTCAGCCAAGCCGGATGAAAATAATTTTAGCCTTCCTGTGAAATTAATTTTTGGGCCTGATCAGCTTAGTGAGGTTGACATTGATAACTAATGTTCAGATCCATAGTCCCTACTGCATCCTACAATCTGCTGCAAATCATTCTGTCCTTGGCCAATAACATGGCATCAGCTACTTCCCAACTAGCATAGCTCTAAAGTCACTACGCTTTTTATACAATTATCCATGAACAGATCAGGTAAATAAATCCATATTTGTCATATTCTTTGTTAAACCATTCACCAAGCATTCTATTTTCATGCATGCTTTTCTTCCATCATCTACTGATCTTAAGCATTCAGCAACCAAACTCCATAAGCAGAAAAGAATATTCAAGCCCATCCCCTTCCTCTTATGCTTTCTATAAATCAACAAATGCACAATAAGCCATGTCAATTTCATATTAGTACGCTGCCCACATAAAGCACTTTTCAGATTTTGATTACTACCTGTTATATTCTTATTGATCTGAATTCTGTTTGGTATCTTCCAGGAAGCCTTAACAAATTAATCTCACAGGAGTTTTACGTTCACTCTTGGTAACTTTTTCCTTTTTACAGGAGAAAAAAATTAGCATTCTTCCAATTAACAGGCATGGATACCGACACATTAAACAAGTGCACAATCACTCCATAATCAAATCAAATCAAATCACATTCACAATTTAATATTTCTGCACTTGTGCTATCAATTACCTGCGACCTTTCTATTTTTCAACATTTTGCAGAGTTTGTCATCTTCCTTCATCAAGCTTCAGATACTAATATAGCATTCATTTCCATTTTACTCTTCAACAAATCACCATCATTCTTTTACAAATGTCTAAAATACTTCTTGCATTTCCTAACTTCAGTTTCATTCCAAATGACTTCAGCACTTCATTCTAAATTGCATTCACTTTGCTCGTTTTGTTCGATCTATTTCCAATTATTATTATTATCAAAATCTGAATTTTCCCTCCCACTCCAATGATAGTCAGACAGACAGACAGATTCTTTGTAAAGAATGCAGTATCTTTGCAGGAATATCTTCCCTTCATCCTCAATTTTTGCAGCAATTATTCTCCCTCTTGCATTTTTTTCTTCCAGTTTTTCTTCTAAAACTTCATTCCATCATACATTTATTTCTATATTCTTTATTAATGTAGATCCATACACTTCTCTGCAACTCTGTAACATCTCTTCCCTCAGTTGTTCCACTTTCACTCTTGCTTCTCTTATTTTTTTTTCCTTATTCATTTTCTAAGATCTATTCTTAATTCTACCAGATAATGGTCTATCTCATATTCAGAATCTCTCAATACCCTATATCGTTCGCTAATTATTTCAATCTGCCATCATAAACAATCAAATCAATCATGCTTTTAGCTTTACAGTGTCTGCTTTTCCATGCCTGCATATGGATTGACAGGCTTAAATCTTCTAACAGGGCACTCATCAAATAGTCATCATGGCCATTCAACATTAGGTCTTCATTTGACTCTTCTCATTCTTGCACATTTATTCATGCCTCCTTACAAATAATTTCCCCTGCCCTATCATGACAATTCAGAATACTGGGTCATTTTTCCCAAAACTCGTATCCCATTGGCTAAGTGATATAAACAACACATTGACACATATAAGATTCTACAAACATCACTCCAATAATATTCAGAGTTATGAATACAAATCTAGTCAGAAACACTGGATACTTAAGACTGACAACCGCTGAACTTCATTAATGTCATTTTTTTTGTCATCTTTTACAATATAATCATAAAGAATCAAGAACATTCTGATGTTTGCAGAGTGCCCTCTACTGACCAGAAATGGAATAAAAGTACACTATTCATGTTTCTTCTGAATCAAGTTTGTATCCTAGTGACCAAGTAGTCTTGAACATGTAGTTTTCTTGGTAACAATAAAAAAATAATTTATATGGGTGGACTTTTTTTTCTTCCCAATCTGGTATACAGCTATGGTCATATATAGTGACTCTCCAATTAAGAAATTAAGTCTGACCTTGTTCAAGACTTTTCAGGTCAAAGTTGCTGAGGTGCTGCCCATTAGCTGGGCATAAAGAGGATACCCTGAGGCAAGTCTCACAGTCCATGAAAGAACATCAAAATATTTTCAGAGATGTTCCACAGCAATTTAGATTCCTTTTTTCTTCTGTTCATTAATCTACCTGGATCACTCTGCTTTGAACCATGAAACATTGCAATTCTGTCTGCAAAATTGGGTCAGGAAAGATTACTCGGGATCTTTGCAGTTTACTGTATAGTGCCTGCAAAAGTTCCAAACATAATGGAATCTCTACCCCAGAAACCTGGGTGTGTAAATAAAGATGAGATTCCACTGTCATGTCAACACAGCTAAATTTCAATGTGCCAAGCTGTGGTATCTTGGATCACTGCAGATAAATGAAGGATGCTGATGTCTGGGAAGGATATCTTCATGATAGGTGAGAAGCTGCTGCCCTTGTTGGTCAAATCTTTAATCGTAATGCCCCTTCAAGAAATAGCAAGGTTTCTGCTGAAGAAATCAAAAGGCTGGATTGTGAAGAGAAAAAAAAAAAGGGAGAGAGAAGAAAATATGCCCAAAATGAAATATTGCCCTTCCAAAATTCATTAGTAAGTTATATCATCCAGGATCCAAATGAGCATATTTCCAAATGCAAGATAACGATGCAAACAATTATCATAGTATTTCACTCATTTTGCAAACTGGCTTGTAAACAGCTGCTGGTCTAGTCATGAATAAAGTATTATTTTCTAAATTAAGAGTCCACCAAGCTTCACAGTTCAATTAGGGAACTTAAGCCAGCTCACTAATTATCTTCTAGAGAGTATCTTACTTCAGACACCTTATGTGATCTGAAAAGCTGGGAAAGGTGGGATGAAAGAGGACGACCACCAGCAGGGTGGATGGACTCAGTTACAGCAGCAATGACTGCATCATTGGGAGATTTGAAAGTACAAGTTAGGGATCATGGGAAAAAAATCTATCATTTTGATCACTAGGAGTCAAAAACAGCATGATGGCACATAATCATCAATCAATCAATATAAAGAGTGCAATGTAAATTTTATCAATCTCTTATGAATTTGCCCTGTTAGTGAATGCAATGAAGTTCATCAGCTACTACTTCCCACCCATTATAAGAAATTCACTGTAGCAAAAATTTCCATGTTATATGCAGAATTGAGAATAAGATGACAATAAACTCCAGTTGATGGAAGTTTAGACAAATAGATACAGGAGAGATTTTATTTGCAAAAATGAATGCCTCTGTCTTTTTGGCCCAACCACCACCTCTCAAGTTTCACAGTGATACAATTTGGTCTTGGGGCAAGAGAACAATAATTGTTCAATTATATTTTTGACTCTTGTGTCCCTTGTAGAGGAACAAGATATTGTTACTGCATGTGTGACATATATGTCAGTTATTTCAGCTTTTTCTTACCACATTATGTCAAATGCCTGCTACAATGTGGGCAAGACATGCAATAAATGAATTTATATTATTTTATTTACACGTACACACATTTACCAATGCCTAATGCAAACATTTAGGGGCACCAACCTTATGTATTCAATTTCACCTGGTCAGCACAGAGGAGAAACTTTTGGAGGTGTTCAGAACATTTAATTGAAGAACTCTGATTTATCTTCAGGCACTCCTCGAATGCAGTAAATGGCTCAGCACAATCTCGGCGAATCTTCTGAACAATTGGGCTATAAAAAAGTCCCATAGATTTATAAATAAGAAAAAATGGACAAAGAACAAATGCAGGAACTTAGTAAAAGCTACACACAGAAATACTATGAAATCTACAGGCAGATAATGGAGCAAACCTTCCTCAGTTAATCAAAGCTGACACCCCCACAAAGGCAAAACAGCATTCCAGCCCAAGAGAACTTACTGGGATGATGTACATTTGGCCATATCAAGTTTGAGTTGGTGACAGTCCTGCTGCCAGGAAGAAGGGTTAGCAGCAACACACCGGCCATATTGCTCGGTTTCTTTGTGGCAGTACCGCAAGGTTACTTCCAGAGCTGCCTGCCTGTTGAGAGGGAGACAAGTTAAAAAATAAATAAATCCTGATTGTACACCTTGCCTTTCCACCAGAGACAGATAACGATAAAAAGAAATGCAAAAATGTTTCATGTACCTTTACAGCAGTGGTTCTCAACCTGTGGGTCGGGACCCCATTTGGGGTCGAACGACCATTTCACGGGGGTCGCCAAACAACGCAGTCCGCCATTTTTTCCCCCTTTTCCTTAGCTGTGCTACTCCCTTTTATTCTATTGGCTTTTGAAAGCCAATAGAATAGACTCTATTCAAGAGACTCTATTCTATTGGCGTTTGAAAGCCAGTAGAATAGACTCTCTTGAATAGAGTCTAATTCTATTGGCTTTCAAAAGCCAATAGGAATTGTCCAGGCTGTCTCTGCCCTGCTGAGCCCACCAAAAGTCCCATTCTGCAAACGATGCTGCAAGTTGTCTGCAGCAAAGGCGAGCTGTCTGGAAGCTTCCACCCCCTCCCTGCTGAGCAACTACTAAAAATGTAAGTAAAAGAGGGCCAGGGGTGGGAAGTGGGAGGCTGGCAGGCGCAGGGAGGGTTGCTGGCACGCGTGGGGCCTAGCAGGTGCCTTACCTCCCTTGGGCTGGGCCAGCTGGTGGCCCAGTCGGTGGTCAGCCTGCATCGTCTCTGCCACTTGCCAGCTACGCCTTGGCTGGCACAGGGGGCGGCACCACGCATGTGCGGCGCTCCTGGGCAGGGAAAGTCCTCGACTTACGACCGGTTGGGTAGTCCTCGACTTACGACTGTTTGGGGGTCGCGGCATTAAAAAGGTTGAGAACCACTGCTTTACAGCATTATGAAAAACACACGGAAGTGGCTATTTCTAACTGATTTAAACACTGTTCAGTAGCTAGCCCAATTTACCCACCAAAAAAGAATACAACTGGTTTCCCCTCCCTTGGGACTTCGCTTGATTCTCCTCTCTCTCTCTCTCTCTCTCTCTCTCTCTCTCTCACTCACTCACTCTCTCTCTCTCTCACACACACACAGAGGCTATTACACAGCCTTGTAACTTGAAGAGTTTCAAAGTTAACAGATGTATTATTGCGTAAGTTTTCCTACATCACCGCCCACCATTTACTACCATGGGTTGTCAAGGTCACCAACTGAGACAACTTTAAAAGGAGATCCAACAAAGCTGCTACTTGTGACGACACTCTATCATCACGTATAAAGTAGCAACTATTGGTCGCCGTCTGCCCCTCTCCTGGCTTCCCAAACCGATCAGGTTGGTACCTGCAGGCAACAGGTCACGGGATTATATGAAATAATTAATCTGATCCTGACGCTAAGTATTATAGATTGAAACCTCTGCAGATGCAAGTTAAAGACCGAGGAAGGAAGAAAAATGGAGTTTTCCCTTAGATCACATAAAGGCTTTGGAGCAGAGCTTTAAAGATATCACACTCACATGCCCCACTCGGCTCCGGAAAGCCACACTTCTTTCTTCCTTGTCCCCAACACGCATGCGCCCTCCCGGGCACCGGATCTCTTCTGCGCATGTTTGAACGAGGCGAGGCGAGGCGGGGCGGGGGGGTGGAGCTTTAAAATACAGTCATCAGGACACTAGAGAAAACGCCTCACGCTTTCGCGCACGCGTAGTTGGAACGACGCCGTCGCTTCGCGGAGAGCCACGTGCATAGCTCATTCATAAAGGGGTGTGAGATTGAAGCGTTGGCTCCAGTCGGCGGTGCGAAAGGGCGACGCATGCGCACCTTGACGGCCCAGGCCGGGAGCATGCTCGCTCAACGCGCTTCATTGGCGCCTACCCCGGAAGTGGAAGAAGGAGACCGAAGCGAGCCGGCGACGGTGGCCGGAAAAAAGGATGGTGGCAACAGCGGGGGCCAGTCCCGGGCCGGGGCCGGGGCCGGGGGACGACTTGGTGCAAGACGTGATTCCATATCGGAGGCGGTCGCGCCTGTTATGGGGGACGGTGTTGCCCTTTTGCGTACTGTACCCGCTCTGGCTGTGGGTTTGGGGGGCAAGCGCCTCCGCCTGGGCTTGGGGGTCAGCCGCCGGCACCGAGAGCCCTGAAGCTGCGCTTCTTTTCCTCGCCGCCATTGGGGTCGTCCACCTTCTCACGGCCTTAGCCGGCCTGTGGAGCGTCAACGTCCACTGCTTGCTCTACTGCTGTTGGGTCAGTCGCCGGCCGGAGAGGGGAGGGGAGAGGAGCGGAATGGCGGTGGGTGGGTGGGTGAGTGAGCCTGTTACCTTTCCCTAGGCTGGCATAGCTTTCTCTGCCTGGGGCTTCTAAGATCAGATCAGGGAAAGTGGGGAGAAGCCTTCTGCCACATCTGCCTCCCCCCAAGTCTCCTGCACACGCTTTACTTTCTCGAAGGTGTGGGTGCTCAGGTGTGTCTCGGGGGTTCCTTGCACGGGTGCTCTGGACTTAACTGATAAGGTGGCCAGACTTTGCACTCCCCTCTTAACGAGTATCAGAAGTGAAACCGAGTCTTAAGTCCAAATACTGTGAAAGAGAGAACATCTGTAAAGCTTGGTGCAATCACTGGGATTTTGCTTCTGTATAGAATAAGAATAGAATAATAACTTTTTTGTCACTTTGAATGTACACTAATCGGCATATATTAAAATGAAATTTTGTTGCATACAGCTCTCGAAGGGTCACCACCTCCAACATACACTACATAAATATGACAAAAATAAACATACAGAATTATACATGTATGTGCTTCTTACTTGACAAGGCTTTGTTGGGGAAACAAAACAGGCACACTTTGCTGAGGCATTTGCTTTTCTGACTCTTGTTTAATCATTGTTAATGTCCTGACTGTAGTTTTGATGTGTTCAAGTTAAAGTGAATAGGTTTGTGTTTTTTTGTATTTAAAGGCTGTTTGTTCTGTATGCATCAATTGTTTATTTTGGAATCTAGGGAGGTGAACAGAATGCTATGGGTAGGAAGTGGTCATTTGAATTTTAATTAATGTAATGTGGCTTTCATTGAATTGGAAGTAAATCAAATTGAGATTCTTTTAACTTACTGATATGGATGGGATATTTTAGATTGCCTGTATTCTTTTTTTAAAAAAAATGAAGCTTTTTAATGGTTGTATTTTTTAAAAGAGGTGTTTTAGTCATGATAGTTTTATTTGACATTTTTCATGTTTTTGTAAACTAGTGTGGCTTTCTCCAGAGAAAATAGGCTTGAGATTTCCCCCCCCCCCCAACAATACTAGTTATTTTGGAAAGTTGTGATGGTTTCTTGATTTCCAAATGTGAGCGCTTACTTATCAGAGGAAACAAGTGGTGATCCTGTTAAGGTTTTGCACCTGTAAGCAAAACAAAAGAGAAAATATATCTCTGAACACATCAGTCATTTTTTGTTTGAACTTGATCACCTGAATGAAAATTTTTCATCTCTTTTGCTTTTTAAAATTCTCTTCAATATTTTATTTATCTTTCATGGACATTGAATATTTCCCAAATTTCCATTCTTGAAACATATTTTCCTCTGGAATAAAGTTGAGTTTCTTAGAGTCCGTCAGTATCAGGATATACATTAATATATTTCAGTGCCCAGTTTGGAAATTATAGAATAACTGATCAAAGAAACTTAAAAGTAGCTTTTCTTTAAGTTAATATAAATATAATTGCTGCTTGGATTTTGCTGTGCTAAAGGTTTGTTGCAGTGGTGGTCAGAACAGAAATAATTTGATTATATCTGCCTCTTTAATAATCATATGATATTACTGTACTTTCCTTGTATGGTTTTCATTTACTCACTGTCTTTGAAAGAGAAAATGAAAAGTCTGTAATTCATGGGTACATATTCAGTTTGTTTTCAAAAAAGTCCCAGTTTCAAAATCACAGAGCAAAATCTACCCAGACTGGAGAAGTATTTCCAGTTGGAATGGACAATATTGGTTAAAATGAATTGGTAGATTTCAGCAGTAGGACGACAGAACAACTGGAATCATAATCTGAATTTACCAAAAAGTAACTGTTGGTATTAGGGGCATTTGCCTTTAACAAATGTAGCTAACAATGACTTTGATCTTAGGATAGGTTGATTCAAAGAAAGATTATGAAACAATAGCTTTTGGCATTGTCATTCAGTGGTTTCCTCAATTATTTTCTCACTCATAACCACCTGCATTGTTTAGAAGGTTTTTAGGCCTTCCAGATAGTACAGTTCTTATTATATGCAAGCCTAATAGAAGAAACCTTCACTAATTCTTGAATGATGATGAGCTCGGAAGGGGGAGGACTAAACTGACACATCTAGATATGTTGCTCTGCACAATTGCCTTCTAGAATTGATACAATGTCATAGTCCATTCATTTCAAGTATTAATCAGTGTTCTGTGTCTGATTATTTCAGAAATGTCAAAGGTGAATTACATTCTTCCATTAAGTTTATTAAAAAATATTAAACCAAGTTCTTTAAAACACAAAGCAAGAATTAAGACTTTCTTTTCTTTGTTTTTTAATCAAAAAGTCATAGGCTAATACTTGAAGCTCATTTGTTTAATGCCTGGTGGATATCTTTTGAGGAGTATTTCAGAAATGAAACACAATTGTAGAAACAGTTTTCTCCCTGATGTTACTCCCTTAGCCCAGGGCAGGGGTAGCAACTTTGACTCTTTTATGACTCGTGGACTGGCTCAGGAATTCTGGGAGTTGAAGTCCACGAATCATAAAAGAGCCAAGGTTGCCTACCCCTGACCCAGGGGATGCTGTTTTTGATGAACAAAGGGAAATTAGAGGACTTGTTTGCTAGTGCAGGTAGGTTGCAAGTGATGTGGTTAATGAATCCCATAAAATGGTTTCATTATTTAAATTTCTACTATTCAAAGTGATATTTGTAGGGTAGTTGGTATGGTAATTGGTTACAGCTTGGCAGAAATAGGCGGAAATAGTGAAAAACTTTGAACAAATTTGTATATGTATATTAATGAAATAATACAATTAAAATATACTTTATGGTTAACAAAATTGCAAAGTAATTACAGGAAGCAAAAATTGTAAAACCCTTATTTTAAATTTTTGCTCTATTGTAATGAGCCTTTTTTTAAAAAAAAAATGTACTGTTTTCTTCTGATAGCATCTTTTCTCCACATTGCACATATAAAGATTAGCAATGTCTAAAACCTCAGGTGCAACTGCATGTGTGCTAGCCTCGTATTAACTGAATTGTGTTAAACACACTCTGATATTAATTTACAATTCACATTAAATTGAATATTGCATTATTCAGACACACTAATTGCAACCTACCTGTTTCAAGTTTAGATAAAACCAGTACAATTAATGCAAATGTAGCTTAACTCCCAAGTGCATCTGTTTTCTCTCTTTTATGAAGGAAATTCTAAATATTGCTTGATTTGATCCAAATTCTAAAAACTAATTGTTCAAATTATTTGTCGTTCAGGTGCGCAGTCCAAGGAAAGCTACTTTGGCTAAAGTTGTGCCAACTCCAAATAATGGCTCTGCAGAACTGGTACCACTCCACCGAGATCAGGTAAGAAATTAAATAATGGTGTTAAATTGAGGACAGTTCCCCTTTCTCATCAATTTGTTGTAGCTCACTTAAGTTTGACAGCTCATTTTGACTTAGTACTTCGTGTTGAAAAAAAATGTGTCACAGAAATGTGGTTCTGATCTCAAACATAGGAATGTGTAATTAACGGCTTGGATCTTGAATTCTCTTTGTAAAGAAAAGAGCTTAGTTTAAGAAAAGGAATACCTTACTTACATTCCTTCCCATCTGCAGTACTTGTCTCAACAAATTACAATTGCAGTACCTACCATACAACTGGAACAATGTTCTGGTGGTACCATGAGTTATAAATAGACAGGATGTGAAATTTGACAGAAAATGTATCTCCCCGCTTTTCCAGAAATATTCTCTTGCCGACAGATACTCACATTTGCCTTTAGGAAAATTAAATCCATTGGTTTCTAGTAGTTTTATTCTTTTTAAAGCTGCAAAAACATAGCTGGGTTGTATCCCTTGCTGTAGTGTTTACGTTTGCCTTGGCCTGCTGCAGCAGGGAGACCGATGGGCCAGCTTCCTCATGTTGTGTCCCACTTAATGGTAGGAATCTCCATACTGGCTCCATGTACACAGAAAGTTAATTTGGGGTGTCCCTCCTAGGGAGAAGATGGACAGGAGGTTCTTTCCTTTGAATTTCAAAAAATCAAATACTTTTGTGAGCTAAGTGAAAGCAAAAAATTCCTTCCTGTGGCATTTCCTGTGGAGCACCCTCTGCAGTATTATCAGAATGCACGTGGTTACCAGGAAGATAAAGAAATCAAAGCAGCAGAAAAAAAATATGGCACCAACAAGTAAGTAGGACAAAGGTGGGCTACACTATTCATCTGTAATATTTATCATAAACTTCTTAAGATAGGAATATCTGCTCTCGATTACTAAACATATAGCTTAATTAGCCTATAGATAATTGACAGCGTGTTGGCAATGTAGTACCTAGCATTGCTTGCCAGACGGATATGGAAGGGGAAGTATCTAGTTAATAATTCGCAATAGCAAAGAAATACATTATTTTATTGTTTCTTACTACACCTATTTATTAAGCTGATTTGCTGCCTTTCCACAATTCCATCTATCTACGTTAAAGTATATGTCTCGAAAGGCTTTTTTATCCCCTAACATCGATTTGCAGTCCTATCATTTGAAACTTAACTAAGCTTAATTAAACAGACACGTGGCAGCTAAGAGATTAATTGCTCTCTATCTTGCCAAGATCAATTTTATTCCCATCTTACTCCGTTGCATGCAGTTGTATGAACCCTGAGTCCATTTTTACTTGTTTTCCTGCCTTTTTACATTCCCAATAGCCCATCTTTCCATCCTGTATGTCTGCAAGAATTCGTGGAAGAAAGTTCTTCACCTCGTTCTTCCATCCCTTTATAACTAGCCACCTTCTCCTACTTAAAGGCACACTGTGTTCAGGCATGTTTTTGTAATTAAAAAAATACAACAACTATAAGCTCTCTCAAAGGCAGAGATCTGCTTTCCTTAGCCAACTGTAAACACAATTTCTCCCTTTATTCCCACTTTATAACTTGCTTGTCTTAAAGGTTAAATCAAAGCAAAAACAAAAAACTTCAGTTTCCATAGCTATAATCCACTGCTTTCCTAAACCTGGCACTTTCCAAGTGTCCTGAATTACAACTACTTTTGTTCTTAGCCAGCGTGCAGAATGTTGATACAGTCTGAAGAAATGGTAGAATTTTCAGCCAAATGTACATGATTAAATTAGAAAGGGCTGCAGAAACAAATCAGTAACGCAATCATATCATCCAGTAGGAAGAACTCAGAACCTTTCATGAAAAAACTAAAACAGCAGTTCTTATTTCCTTAATTAGTCTAGTGTAGTTATTAATTTAATTAGCTATTAATTATTAAGTATTGTTAATTATCCATTAATGGTGAAAATTGTGGGTCTGACAATGATAACTGAGGAGCAGTCCCAGTTAAGTAGTGCCTGAAACTTTAAAGTTCTGTGCTTTGAAGGATATTTGATGAAGCCAGAAGTAAAAATAGAAGAGAGAGAGAAGTGGGTAAAGAAAATGAAATCTTCAGAATCCAAAGCAGAGGTGGAGAATCTGTGACTCTCCTGATAATGTTATCCCAGCATCCCTTAACATTGACCACGCTAGCTGTGAATACTGAAAGTAATATGCAGCAAAACCGAAAGTTTTGCAAATTGAGTGACTCAAGAATTGGTGAGTGCTAAAATGAATAAGGATTCTGCTTTTCATATAGGGCAGAAATGGTTGTGCCAGAATTCCTGGAACTCTTCAAAGAGAGAGCAACAGCTCCTTTCTTCGTCTTTCAGGTAACAAAAGCTGTATGTCAATGTACAACATCAAGTGTATTTTGTTACTGTTTGGTTTGTTCCTTAAATTGACAAAGTGATAAGTAAATGCTGTCCCAAAAAATGTTGATTCCCAGAGTTGTCAACTTTTTATTTATGCAATTGCCTGGCTAGTATGGACTTGTTCAGATATCCTCAGCGAAGAAACTGGAAAATCAACTGTTTTTTAACCCAATTTGCTTCTACATTGAGACAGACCATCTTGATTTACTTTCTTGCTACTTATAGTTTATCTGATGAAAAATGGATTATAATTGACATAAAAACTGAATATTCTTTTATTGATCAAGATGCATATAAACTAAATCCTGTAAAACAGTGGATTCCCATAAATGCAGATAGAAATGTAAGTCAATTATTCCTCGTAGATGCAATAGAAATTATGAATAATATATAGTAGTTACATGGGATTTTTTTTTTCAGAGTCTCCAAGTACTCTTAGACTTGCAGCAGTAAGTAAGAAAGTCTCAGCCATATTGGTTGAGAATGCTGGAAGAACCATTTTATCTCCTCTTCCGGAGGGAGGGAGGAAGCTGGAGGATAAGGAGTCCTTCCTTACCCTTATATAATAAATTATGACTAAAATAATATTCAAATTAATGATTTCTTGATTCTGTTTTTCATTATTGTGATAACCTCATCTTTATTATGGACCCGTGGTGGCGAACCTATGGCACGCGTGCCACAGGTGGCACCCAAAGCCCTCTCTGTGGGCACGAGTGCTGTCGCCCCAGTCCTAGGCTTTCAGCTGGGTTTTATAAAACCTTTTCGCTTTTGGCTTCTGCTGTCATGTGCAAAAAAAAAAAAAAAAATGGTTCGATCAATCAATCAATTTCAACTTCTCGCAGGAAAAAAAGATCTGGCAAAGTTAGAATTGATTGATTGAACTTTTTAGTCGTACCCAGTCTGCCGTTAGCACCGCAGCCACGCCCACCCAATAGGCCATACCCACCCGGTACCCGACGATACATAAGTGGGTTTTGGGTTGCAGTTTGGGCACTCGGTCTCTAAAAGGTTCGCCATCACTGTTATAGATACTAGTGCAAAGATGGGAAACAGGCATCAGTGCACACTTAGCCCCAAAAATATTTTGGATCATGTACTTCAACCAGTTTTGCAAGAAAAAAAATGCAGTGGGGCATTTCCTGCCCTTTTAAAACAGGAAACTAACAAAGGCAATAGATCTTCCATTCTCTCTCTCTCCTTTTTAAAAAAAAAAAATGGCTAGGAGCCTGCCCATTTTTTATTACTGCTCTTGCTGAAAAATATTTCATTGTGGCTCCTAGCTTTCATAAAGTTGCCAAACTGTGTGATCCATAAAGTCCTTTGTTTCTGCTTTCACAGGTATTCTGTGTGGGCCTGTGGTGCCTGGATGAATACTGGTACTATAGTGTCTTCACTCTTTCCATGCTGGTAGCTTTTGAAGCATCCCTTGTCCAGCAGCAAATGAGGAACATGTCTGAGATCCGAAAAATGGGTAACAAACCCTACATGATCCAGGTAAGCAAAGGCAAAAGATGATGAGATTCAAGTAAAACTTGAAGGCTCCAGTGCCTCCTCCTCCTCCTCCTCTCCCCCTCCCCCCATCCGCAGAGATTCTAATCAATTGTTAGCTTCCAGAATACTGAAGGTCTCATTGTTCAAGGTGATGCGAATAACAGTTAGTTGCTGTACTTGTTAAATGGGCTTGCTAAGAAAGAGGAGCTGTCAGGAAAAGCTGAGTGGTTATGTGGTGATTTCAATAAGACAGGAAGGGTGACCTGAGTCTTAGAAGCTAAGATAGAAAGATGCTTAATTATCAAAATCTTTTTCATTTGTCATCCAAATATGTAAATTTTTCTCTCCTTCTAGTATTCCCTGGCTTCTAAGATACCTCTTTCCATTTTTCTTTGCTTTGTAAATTTATTGGTTTCTTCCAGGAAAACAGTGATTCAATTTTGGATAAATCTAGTAACAGGCTAAATTTATGGAGAAAATGTATATTCATTCCATCCATTTTCTAGTCTTATATTATTTTTTATTAACCAGTACTTTTAGTTAAAAGTACCATGAAAGTAGAATGAGTATTTAAGGTTTCTAATTTAGCAGAAATGGCTAAAATTTCTGCTTATTTAAAGGACCATTCACAAGAGAGATATTTTAATGTATGGAGAAGATGGATAGAATATGTTCAGAAGAAGTATGGAACTACAAAGTTTCACTTATTTTATGAGTAATGAATTTGTTTATAAACTTATGATGTTAAAGTTTGAAGAGAGTTAAGGGTTAGTATGATTTTGGTTATTGTATAATTAGTAAACTTAAATAGATTATGTTTAATATGTTTGCATAACCCTGTACTTTGCTCTGGGAAGTCGGGGTGGGGGGAGGGGGGTGGGGGGAGGATGGGTTGAAGTTTAAGTAACTCAGATAAGTAGAAATAGTTTTATTGTATATAATCTTGATGTTTCAATTTGGAGAGAGGAATTGCTCGGGCATTTCCCCTGGACCGCATCCGGAGCGAGAAGATAGAAGAAGGTGAGAAGTAAGTAGGAGGTTGAGGAGAAGGAGGAGAGGGGGTGAGTGAGGAAGAGGAAGAAGAGGGAAAGAGGCAAGTTGGTTAGAGGGAGGACGCAGTTTGGGGGGAAATGGGTGAGCAATACCGAAAGTGCTGTGTATCAATTTGTTTTATTTTTTATCTGAAGTATTTTTAAGAATGTTATGTATTGTAAAATTGAAAATAAAAACTTTTTACCCCAAAAAAAAAGTACCATGAAAGTTAACATTGGTGGGTATTGGTTCTATAGAGCTACTTCAGCCCTGTCCAAGGCTCTAAAGTATTATTTTGCTATTGTTTTATTTTTCAGGTTTACAGAAACAGGAAGTGGCGGCCAATTTCCAGTGATGAGATAATTCCAGGGGACATTGTTTCAGTTGGTAATAGAGGTCCCTTACTTGTTGCAAATGAAGAACTACCCACCTTTTTCTGTGTCAAAGTGTTTTTGGTTTTTGTCTGTATTCAGATACTCCTATATATCAGTAAAACTGCCAGGTATTGATTGAGGATTAGAACAGAAAGAAGTCTGTCCAGATCTGTGAGGCTACATTTTCTGACATAAGCTGAATTTAGGTTAATATTGTTATTACGAAGAAAAACATGCTAGTAAAAATGGTTACTTTTATGACAAAAATGGTACTGAAGGTCCCCCCCCCCGGCCATTCTTTACATAATTTTTCCTTGTGGACTTGCAGAAGGCAGCCTAGAAGAGGCAAAATGCATTTGGGCCTCACTGGAGAGACTCAGGAAGAAGGAAGGCATAACATACTAGCAAAACAGGATTGATATGCCAGCAATCTTTTTGCTACTAAGTGAGAAAATCATCCTTCATTTGTGCTGTCTAGACAGCTGAGCTCAGCTAAGCTGAGGAAAGAAGAGCATCTTGCAAGTCCGTCACAATTCTTCGAGTAATCTAGATCCTGACTTAGTCCAGACTTAGTCCATATTTTCTCCCAACTCCTTTCTGAGCATTCAACTTTTTGTTTCAGGCCGTTCTCCCCATGAGAACCTTGTACCGTGCGACATGTTGCTGCTGCGAGGAAGGTGTATTGTAGACGAAGCCATGTTGACTGGAGAGTCGGTCCCTCAAATGAAGGTTTGCCAGTCAATGACTATAATTTGGTCAAGTACTGTTGTCAGAATGCAATATTGTACAAGGTGTTTCCTTGACCTAGAAACGGAGACAGGGTGAAGAGGAAAGAATGAGGTTGGGCAGACTGCAAGAATCATTGTAAAAGTGAAGCAGGAGAAGGCGAGAGACTAAACAATGATTTTTGCATGAGTGTAAACTAAATTAAAGGAAAATTATGAAGGAGTATCTTCTGATATTGGAAGAACCAACTTTGCCTATTGGTTGATGGGGGGAAATGATAGGATTGTATTCTTTCAGGCAGAGAGAGGAAGTATTAAAACAAGGATAACTGCTAAACATAATTACATTTAATTAGCTAAATGTAATTGAAATAATTGAGAATGTTGGATGGTAAATGGGATGGTTGTAATACAGTTGTAATAAATAGGAGAAAATATGTTGGCATTTTGTTGCTCATTTCTCATTGCAATTGAAATAAGACTAAAACTTCTCATTTTATACTTTTAAATATTCATAAAGAGTGACAAACATTGAGGAAAAATGCACAAAATACACAAAACTGATATATTAGTAAAACTGCTATTATATTAAACATTATTAAATACGAGAACCCCTCATCTGCCTGTATGAAAGACTTAGTCTCCCCATCTTGAATCTTTCAGAGAGTATGTCATTTGAGTAAGCCAAAATGTAGATAAAGAGAATTCAGCAAAGATTGGCTGCTTGCATCTCTGCCTGTCTAAGCAAATCTTGTGAAGTAGCTGTTATTCACTTATTGTTAATGCTCAAGTTCTGTTTTCTCCTATAGGAGCCCGTTGAGGATTTGGATCCTGATCATGTCCTGGATATGCAAGCGGATTCCAGGTTGCATGTCATTTTTGGGGGAACAAAAGTTGTGCAGCATATTCCACCACAAAAAGCCAGTACTGGCCTGAAACGTATGTAGCGACTGAAGTAGCATGAACAGAATTGGGAGCAGGGGCAAGGGAAGAGATTGGGGGGGGGGGGAAATCAGTAAAATATAATTTCCCTTAGAGAAGAAAAGAACCAGAAAAACATTTCCTCCTGCTTGTGTCCACTATTTTAACTTCTTTGACTTGATTTCCTAGAATATTGTAATCAGATACTGCTTCTCAGATCACTGTTACCGATTCTGAGAAAGGGTAGTGCAATATATTGATTGAATTTACTGATAAATATAGCTAGTCCAAGCAGGCTCTTTTTTTCAGCTGATAACTTTTCCATTTGATATATGATAACTTTTTACATTTTTGCATAGCTGTTGTAATGTTCACATTTGCTGGAGAGTTCATCCAGATTCCCCATTTATAGAGCTGTTTTATAGAAATATACTACAAAATAATATTCTTTCTCCCCTCTGTAGCTGTTGATAATGGGTGTGTGGCCTATGTTCTGAGGACAGGCTTTAATACTTCTCAGGTAAGCAGGTATAAAACCTCTGTGCTTTTATGTGAAAACAAGTCATGAGTTCATTTTCCCAGCTCAAGAAGCAGAACTTGTAATTCAGAGCTCATGATTCTGTATGATTTAACTTACAAATTGAAGACATACATATATCTCCACTACCCAAAGTCCTTTGTAACTAGAACTTCAAGCAAAGTTAAAATTGTGACGAAATGATTGCTGCTTATTTTAAAGAAAGCCAGTCGTCTGAGTAAATAGGGTGGAACAGTTTTCAAGTCTTCCATCTTCCTGTTATCATTTTGTGTTACTTATATTTAATTTGATGCTTTTTTTTAGTTCCTAAACCTTAATAATAATAATAATAATAATAATAATAATAATAATAATAATAGTAGTAGTAGTAATAATAATAATAATAATAATAATAATAATAATAATAATAATAATAATAATGAAGTTGGAAGGGATCTTGGAGGTCATCTAGTCCAACCCCCTGCTCAGGCAGGAAACCATATACCATTTCGGACAAATGGCTGTCCAATCTCTTCTTAAAAACCTCCAGTGTTGGAGCATTCACCGCTTCTGGAGGCAGGTTGTTCCACTGGTTAATTGTTCTCACTGTCAGGAAGTTTCTCCTTAGTTCTAGGTTGCTTCTCTCCTTGCTTAGTTTCCACCCGTTGCTTCTTGTCCTGCCTTCAGGCGCCTTGGAAAATAGCTTGACACCCTCTTCTTAATAAAATGGTTCTTAAACATTAGGGTTAGCTTTTAAGGGAGTCGTTTGATTTGCTGACAGGGTTCTAATAGCCAAAGTATATGTGACTTTTTTTTTTTTTTGGCATAATACTGCAGAGAAGGAAATTCCACAGGTCCACAAGTTGCATTTCAATATGTCTAGAGTACTCTAAACTGGGCAGCACTTCTCTGGGGATTTAGACATTAGTCACATTTTTTGTGTGTTGCACTCTGTCAGTAATTTCTCTGAAATAATGGAGTGATTACTCTTCCTCCCTCTCAGGGGAAGCTCCTACGTACAATCCTCTTCGGGGTAAAAAGGGTAACAGCCAACAACTTGGAAACTTTCATCTTCATTCTTTTCCTCCTTGTCTTTGCCATTGCTGCTGCAGCCTATGTATGGATCGAAGGTAAATTTGGGCCTGTCTAATCAAGAAGGGAATATAACATCAGTGGGAGTGGCAAGGGTCTTGATGATCTGCAGAAAGGAATACTCTTATTAGAATGGCTGCCTTATTAATGGGATAGATGTCTTACTGATTTGATTGCTTTATTTAAGAGATTGGTTGTTGTTTGCTGGATTCCACAGCATTGTAGCACATCCCCGTACCCAGGAGCAAGGTGGAATTTTAAAAAGAAACAATATCCTTGATACATTTCAAGATTGGGGGCGTGATTTCACACCCCTGCAGGCCTCTGTACTCCATGCCAAAAGTCTATTGCAACAAGGACGGAAGCCTTTGAGACGCGATCTTGAGCTCCCTCAGTCTCTCTCCCCTTTGCGAAAGCTTTTGACGCAGAGAACAGAAGCCTTAAAGAGCGTGATCTCACGCTGCTTCAGGCCTCCGTTCCGTTTGCAAAAACTTTTGGCATGGAGAATGGAAGCCTTTGGGGGGGTGGGATCTTGTGCTCTTTCAGGCCTCCATCCCCGTTGCCAAAGCTTTTGGCACAGAAAACAGAAGCCTTCAGGGGCACAATCCTTACAGGTTTCCATTCTCCACACGAAAAGCCTTTTGCAAAGGGGACAAGAGGATGTGTAAAAGGATGGGCGCTTTTCTGCCAAATGGCCCTGACTCCAGATCTTTCAAAGGTGAGTGACTGGTGGTGGGATGGGGAGGAGCCAGTGGGCTGGCATAGCAGGGCTAGTGCCAGTTAGGTCCCTATGAGGATGACCATCTGCTGTAATGCTGTAACATTCATAACATTGGGACTATGTCATACGTACTTTTGAGGGTGGTGTCATAACTTTGTACCATTGTTAAGTGAACTGTCGTAACTGAGGACTACCTGTAATCAGTAGATTTGTCTGTAGATTAAAACGGTGAAGTCGGAAGGCACTTAATTTCCCATGGTGTGCTTATGGTTTCGTTGTGCCCTAGCATGTGTTCTGGGACTTAGCAATCACCTTAGTGAATTGTGCAGCAATGATATGTAATCCAAACGTGTCTCTTTTCCTCTTTCCAAGGCACTAAAGACCCCAGCAGGAACCGTTACAAGCTCTTTCTGGAATGTACTTTAATACTAACCTCGGTTGTTCCCCCTGAACTTCCAATTGAGCTTTCCTTAGCCGTCAACACCTCACTCATTGCTCTTGCCAAATTATGTAAGTTCCAAGAATCATGGGAGAGTGAGATTACAAACTTTGAAAATGTAAAGTTCAAAGACAATGGCATTTATCTTTCTGGGAAACACCCATCTTTTACACTACAAATTGTTTTGCTTATTGACTTCATTGGCTGAGTCATTGTGATTTGTAGTACTCTGGCCTTAAATATAAAAATGTGGTTTGCAAAACTATTAGCAACTGAAAAGAGCTTTCAAGTATTTCCTTCGCTGGATCAACGAAGCAACTGAAATCTTCCCTTGTAATCTCCCATGAATTTAAGATGACATGAGGAATTTTCACTTTGCACATTTGCTAATGCAACCTCTCCAAAATATTGATCTGACACTCCCAGAATTCTCACAAAGCATTAACAGTTCTGGGAATATAATTTAACACTCAACAGTGGTAAAAGGTGGTGAAACCAGTTTGACCTATTTGTATCTCTGAAGAATTGTAACTTACAACGTGCTAAGTTGTATTAATAGAGAAAGAGATTCTAGTTAAATAGAGAACAGAGAGAACTATGCCATGTTTTTTACAGAACACACTGAGCCGTTGACGAAAAATATATGAATTTGGTTATGGGATAATTTAATAGTGATATCTAGTCAATGACTCTGAGTGTCCTTCCCCTATTAAAAACATATCACATAGTGTTGGTTGCTGCCATTGGAATATGCTCTTTGCTGCACACATTTCTGGATGACACCTCAATTAGAAGAGATCTCCAAGATCTCTCTGGTTGATGCTTATGACACTGCAAGGGCTACAAAACTTTTACCAAAGGTGTTGGCCTCTATGAATCCACATGCAGGCAGATAGATAGCGTGCCAATAGAGAATATGCCAAGCCAGGACATCCAAGGAAAGATGGCCAACTGAAAACAAACAGAATCAACAATTTGCAACCTTCCACAAGGGAGCCAAAGCAGATCGGTTCCCTTTTGATCTCTGGATTAAAGAGAACAACCTGAGGTTGCACAAGCAATTTCTCCTTATAAAAGAACCTCTTTAAGACACTAAAGAAATTTGTAATAAGGATTAACAACCTCTGGAATAATTATAGAAAAAGCCTGTTTTGTATTTTGTATCAGAGATAAAAATCGATATGTTGTAATTCTGGTGGATTCTTTTTTTGTTGTTTTAATTATACCATACTGCATTTGCCTAAAATGATACGATGTAAACGTTTTTTTCCAGTAAATAATTATTTTATGTACATGGTACTTTTATGATACTTAAAATGGTTTTTACATTTGTTTTTCTTTAACTAAAGTAAGGAAGTTTAGAATTTATTTTTAAAGAAGGAAATATTGTTTCTTTTTGCTATGTTTAACTTTAGGTGTTTTTTCCCCCTCTCTGCTAGGATAGTGGGATTATTTTATCATTGTGAAATGTGGATATGCCTATAGGGTGATATGGGATCCGTATTTGAAGATAAGACATTATGTAGAGTTTTGTGTATTGCGTTTGGTTTTTTTTATAAAGAGGAAATGGTCCCTTTTTGTTTCATTAATCTTGGGTTTTTTATTTCGTTTATACCCAAATGTTGGGAACATTTCATGACTTTTAAATGGGATTTTGTTACAGTTAAGAGGTGAAATGTGGACTGTTGAGTTTTATATGTGCTAATTAGTGTTAAGTGGACTGAAGACAGTTACTCATGTGATTTTGCCTATTGTTAAAAGATGGGTTATGGGATTAAGCATTTTATATTTGCTAGCGAAGAGGAGGTAAAACAATTAGGGAATTGTTTATTCTTGTCACAAAGAGGGTGGGGAATCATTTTCTTGGCATGGGGTTCTTTTCATATATTTTTCTTGCTATTTCCCCCCTGTCTTATTTCTATTATTTTTTTACTGTTTTACTTAAACCTTTTAATGCAATTATTGGGGGGGGGGAGATTATGCCAAGCCACTGTTACTTTTTCCAAGAGTAATCAACCAATAAAAATCATCCCAAGAGGCAGACAAACTACTCTGAGGGTCACAAAGAATCTCAAAATATCAGACCAGTTTTGTATTGCCAGATGCCAGTATTCAGGAATCCATAAGGAAAACTCTGAACAAAACTGCAGGGACATAAGGGAGGAAATCCCTGCTGCCCTTAAAGCACCTTTCCGTTACTCTCATGTTTGTCAAACATCACCTGGTTATTGGAAAGTATTCTGTGGACAGATGAGTTGAAAGTGGAGCTTTTTGGCATTACTGAGAACTGTTAGGCTTGAAGAAAATGAAAAACTGCACTCCAGCAAAATTCATTAGCAAATTCTACAAGAGAATGACCAATTTTCTGTGTGTTAGCTGACGAATGGGGGTTATGCAGCATAAACTACTGATAACGTTTACAACAAAAAGGCTGGAAAAGAAGAAATATAATGTTTTGGAGTGGCCAAATAAAAGGCTTTGCCTCAACCCGACTGCAGAGTTATAGTGTGATCTGTTATGCAAGACAACGCAAAAATATTGAGCTGAAATAGTTTTGTAAAGAGGAATGGGCCACAATGGCGATAAGCTAATATGCAAGATTGATCAAAATATAGAGGAAAAGATTGGCTGAAAAGTTGCTAAATGGGGCGTTACCTAAAGTTTCAGGTTTTTCAACAAATACGATATTGGCTCAGTGCCTTCAGTAAAAAGAAATGGCACATTATATTGCCTTGTAATTTGTTTAAGTGAAAATTCTGTCAAGCCTTAAATGAAACTCGGATCACGTTGTAGGTTGCAAACTCTAGGATTTTGGGTACTTCTAAAGGATTAACAAACTTTCAAAGTTGGAGAGGGTCCCCGTAAAGATTCTTGATAGAAGTTCTTGGCCTGTTCCTGCTTAAATTGTTTTCTTATCTCTGGGGTTTCAGATATATAGGATGGAGATATTTTTAAACGAGTAAATACAATGTGAGCGAAGGGGGTGGATAGACGGTATTTATAAAAAGAAGTAAAGAAAAACCAGACTTTCATTATTGCATGTTCACCCATATATGTCTTTTGTCTCTTGCAGATGTTTACTGCACAGAGCCATTCCGCATCCCCTTTGCCGGCAAGGTCCATATTTGCTGCTTTGATAAAACTGGCACACTCACCAGTGACAACCTTGTGGTGAGAGGTGTGGCTGGGCTTAGGTAAATCCTGAAGCTAAGGGAAGCAGAGTTGTTTGGAATTGTTTGGGGCCCCTTGACTTACCCATCATTTCCTTGTCTGAGTTTCCTGATCATAAGAGGAATTAGTTTTGTTAAGCTGGGAGCCAGTTGTTTGAGCATGGCCTTTTGATCTTGTTGTAGAGAGGGGAAAGAAGTGATCCCCGTGTCAGACATTCCAGTTGAGACTCATCGGGTCATTGCCACATGTCATTCCTTGATGCAGCTGGATGATGGGACACTGGTGGGTGACCCACTGGAGAAAGCCATGCTTACTGCGGTGGAATGGACTCTGACAAAAGGTAGGCTGGAGGAGCTCCTGAGCCCTAAAGCAGCTTTTCCTGCCCTCTGTCTTATAAGATCGCAGGCATTTCACAGAAACATGCAGTAAATTTTCTGAGTTCCAAGGAACTAAGAAAGTAAATGCCCATATCGTTCTGTCATAGTAGATTTTATTTGGGCCATGTACAGAGAACGTGTCTTAAACACGCAGAATAAATTTTTTTTAAAAATGGGTTATTGGCATTTTTGTTGTTGGAATTTGTTGGTTTTAATCCTACGTTATCTGCCCAGAGTCATAATTTGTAAACTCAGTGGCCATTTAAATGGTAACTGGGAAACTCAGAGTAAGTGGACCTTAAACTCTTCTTTTAAATAATGTCCTGTTGAGTCATCCTCTGTGAGCTTTACCTGGCAAAAAAAACAAGCAGGAGAAATGGTTGCTATCCAAATGGTGTATTGATGGGTCAGGTTAAAAGCAATAGCAACTTTTCAAGTTTTAAAAGGTTCCCACATTAAGTACAGTTGATATATTGAGAATATCAGTTTTCACTTTGCCTGTTCAAAGTTCTGTTATTGTAACAGCTTTTTGAGCTCAACATTATATATTTCCTTTACAAGTTTTAATGAAGAAAAATATTTAAAGCATCTCCTCCTTAACTGTTATGTCACAAGATCCTTTCCCCTAGAATATATTATTGCTGAGAATCAAATCAAATATGGAATTCTGATCCTAGTAGATTTAGAAATATTTCACAATTTATTATCAGTTTGATGAACAACACCAAGCCAAAAAAAAAAAAACCCCATCCTTTTCTCTGTCTCTTTCCTTTTTTTTAAAAAAAACCTTTTTTGCAATGTAAGTGAACCAACACTTGGAACTATATGGTTTTCCCAATATGTATACATTGCAAAAATTGTCGCTTTCATAACCAGTTCACCTTGGGGAATATTCAAATCACCAGTTTCATACCATTCTCCTCTATTATAATGAAGTTAGCAATATCACTCTAGCACAGTGTTTCTCAACCTTGACAATTTTAAGGCATGTGGACTTCAACTCCCAGAATTCCACAAGCCTTAAAATTGTCAAGGTTGAGAAACACTGCAGTGTAGCAAAACCTACTGATTTCCTGCTGATAATGCCCTTTTGCCGTGTGTGTGTCCCTAAATGCCTTTACATTTGCCTATTGTTTTGTTTCGGTTTTGGGCCTTTAAGTCAGTTTTTGAATCCTAGTGACTGCCTGGATTAGTTTTAGCAATGTTTTTTGGAATTGGTTTGCCCTTACTGAGAGAGTGTGACTAGCTTAAGGTCACTCAGCTGGATTAGTGCCCAAGGCAGGACTAGACCTCATGGTCTTGTGGCTTCTAAACTGATGCCTTAACCACTGCATTGAACTGCAAATATTCTATGGATCGCTGCCTGAATTCCTTCCACTCTTGATTCTGGAGACTTTGCAGTACACTGGGACTTCCAGTCTCTAGAAGTGCCTCTGCTCTTGTAAAGGGATTACATGGTAGGTCCCATGGTTGAAGAAGGGGGAGAAGGTGTGCTCCTGCCATTTGGATAAACGGTACAAACGAGGGCTTTTTTTTTTGTCTCCAAACCCTCCCCCCACAATTCAAAGGGAAGATTACCGCTTGCAGTGTTGAACCCTTTCAGGATTTCCCGATCTCTTTGTTTCCAGATGAGAAAGTTTTCCCCCGAAGTATTAAAACTCAGGGACTGAAAATTCACCAGCGCTTTCATTTTGCCAGTGCTCTGAAAAGAATGTCGGTCTTGGCTTCCTATGAGAAAGTCGGTTCCACTGAACTGTGTTACATTGCAACTGTGAAAGGGGCCCCGGAGATGCTGCATAAAATGGTGAGCCGTGTTCTGCAAATTCCTTCCCCATGTGCATGTGTTATTGTTTTTAAATCTGAGTGTAAGTGATTTCAAAATATTTTACATGAAGTAATATATACATTTTTAATAAACATTTTTTCAAGTTGAGAATCGGACAGGACAGGACTTTGGAGGTCTTCTAGTCCACCCTGTACTATTTCAGATAAGTAGCTGTCCAATCTCTTCTTAAAAACCTCCAGTGATGAAGCACCCACCATTTCAGAAGGCAAGCTGTTCCACTGGTTAATTGTTAACTAGTGGAACACTTAATGGGATTAATTAATTACACTCCCATGAAATTGATGTCTTGAATGTATGCAAATCTGAATTGCTTTGGCATGGGAGAGTCTTAATGGCTTTTGGATAGCTGCACAAAGAAGCTTGCATTTATTGCATATGGCTAATTGCTGATGATATTTTAGTTGGACAAACCAGATAGGGTTGGGAAGAGAACTCCAACTGTAGCATTGTAATTAAGTGGAGGAATCTGTGTAATTACTACAGAAAATCATAGGGTATACTTTTCACCTACGCCCATATTTCCATTTGAATTATCATCAGTTTAATTGTAAGAATGTTTTTCCAAGTCTTGGAAAATAATTTTCACAATACTATGATGTAATATTAAGTGGGAATAGAGTGAGAAGAGAGTCTTGGCTGTTTGGATTGGAACGTGATACAGGTAAGTTAGAGTTGGACTCAGCGATCAGCTGTGCAATATCCTGGAAAGGAGAATAAGATGGAGATGGTGTTCTGTTACTGGTTAGTCCAGTGTCTGATCTGCCATATTGACTCTTAACTTGATTTATTCATGTGGTTTATACTCTCCCTTTCTACCTGAGTTAGATGAAACTTCCTTGGCTACTGAGAGACTAATCCTTCATAAAGTTCTCCAGCCTTTTCATAAAACCAGCTAAACTAGTATCTGTTGCAAGTATGTTTTTAAAAAAGAAGACATAATGATAATGTTGTATTCTGTAATATTTATTAAAATGTGTAGTTGCTCTTTAGGAACAGATTTTTTTTTCAGAACAGGGAAGAATAGTGGATAAACGGTGATCCGTTTGTCACAAGACTTGCTTTTCTGGGTTAGCTGAAAGGACACCATATGTAGATTGGCATTCCATTAAACGCTCCTATGGTCCATAGGCTGATACAGATAGTCCTCGATTTATATATTTGCGTTTACAACCCTCATAGCATCCCCATGGTCATATGATCAAAATTCCAGCCCTTGTCAACCAGCAAGTATTTATGATGGTTGCAGTGTCCCGGGATCATGTGATCACTATTTGCGACCTTTCCAGTCATCTTCCGACAAGCAAAGTCAGTCAGGGAAGCCAGATTTGCTTAACAGCTGTAGTGATTCGCTTAACAACTATGGCAAAAAAAGTTGTAAAATCAGGCGCAACTCGGTTGCTTTGCTTAGCAGCAGAAAGTCTGATCCCAACTGATTGTAAGTCGAGTACAGTACTATCTGTAATTCTCCATTTGATCATTTAACTTCTACTTTTGTATGGTAAAGTAGAGAAGAACAAAGAGCCAGATATGTCCAACACTCCTGGTGCCCTCCAGCTACCCTGTTTCCCCGAAGTAAGGCTGCCCCGAAAATAAGCCCTAGCTTGATTTTGGGGGTGGGCCTAATATAAGGCCTATCCCCAAAATAAGCCCTAGTTTTGGGACGAGGCAAATGCTTAAAAATCAAGCTAGGGCGGGGGTGGCGGTGTGGAGCTGCCCCACATGCCCCGCACCCATTTACCTTGCAGCCAGGCCTCTCCTCACCCGCCCACTTCTTCTGCAGTGTCTTCTGCAGCCAGGACTGCATTTCTCAGTCAGAGGCCTTTCCGGAAGGCCACTGCAGCCGAGAACCGAGCTATGGATTCAATTCATAGCTCGGTTCTGCAAGACCTCTGCAGCCGAGGATCAAGCCATGGATTGAATCCATAGCTTGGTCCTCAGCTGCAGAGGCCTTCCAGAAAGGCCTGACTGAAATGCAGGCCGGAATGCAGCTGCAGAATGAAGCTATTTCTTTGGCCCCAGAGGAAATGGACCTGCTGGGCAGGCCTGTCGATGCCGAAGGTGAGTAAGACATCCCCCCAAAATAAGACCTGGTGCCTCTTTTGGAGGTAAAAAAAAAAAAGACCCGATCTTATTTTCAGGGAAACACGGTATATTAGAGCTATTGCTCCAGTATCCTCAACCATTGGCTGCAGATTTGGCAGCCATAATGCCAATATACCTGGAAGGATGCCCGTTTGGACCAATATAACATTGACTGAAGGATCCTGACCTTCTCTGCCTATGCTGCAAGTCTCTTCGGTATCTCACGGTGACATGCGTGCCCTTCTTGTCTTGACACCCCTTTTTATGTGAACGTAACTGTCGGTTTGATTAGAGGTTTTTCTTTTAGCAGTATTTATTGTAACAGTTGCCATCTTTTTGTGCAGTTCTCTCAGTGCCCCAGTACCTATGATGCTATTCACACAGAGATATCACGTGAGGGAGCCAGAGTTTTGGCCCTTGGCTACAAAGAATTGGGGCACCTTACTCATCAGCAAGTAAGTTTCAAATCTTCTGCCCCATAGCTATGCAAGCTCATATGTGCCATAAGCTACTTTGGTGCTCGGGGAGATGCAATCCGTCTATGACAGTGGTTCTCAACCTGTGAGTCAGGACCCATTTGGGGTCGAACGACCATTTCACGGGGGTTGCCAAACAACGCAGTCAGCCATTTTTTTCCCCTTTTCCTTAGCTGTGCTACTCCCTTTTATTCTATTGGCTTTTGAAAGCCAATAGAATAGACTCTCTTGAATAGAGTCTAATTCTATTGGCTTTCAAAAGCCAATAGGAATTGTCCAGGCTGTCTCTGCCCTGCTGAGCCCACCAAAAGTTCCATTCTGCAAACGGTGCTGCACCAGTTGAGTAGTCCTCGACTTACGACCGGTTGAGTAGTCCTCGACTTACGACCTGTTGGGGGTCGCGGCATTAAAACGGTTGAGAACCACTGGTCTATGATAACTCAGTAATCCCGTTAGATTTATAGGCAATGGCTTACATGCTCCCTTTTAAAATGGGGTATTCCTTCTGTTTACTTCACACTTGCAGGGGGGTGGGTGGGAGAGAGAGCAATGGGAGCAACCATCTTAATTGAATTATTCCAATTTCTTCTTGGTAGCAAACCATCTTCTGTATATTTTGAAGGTCTCATTGAAGACTTTCAGAAGAGTAAAGCCTCTTAATGCCTTCTTTCTTAATGTGAAGCCCTCTTTCCTCCTACCGGGGAATTCTAAATAAGCAGAAGGAAGGCTGCTTCTCATGTGGCAAATTTACAATGAAGCCTGCTTTTTTTGGAGGGGGGGTGTTTGTTATAGCTTAGGCAGTATACTGATGGTGCACAGTTGCTGCTTGGAAAGCTGCTCTGTAAGAGACGCACAAGGCAATGGAGGGGGGGAGGGAGTTAGAAAGAGACTAAGAGGGCAAAATAATAAGCTGTAGAAGTGCAGGCAGCATGGCCTTGCATAGCAAAGACTTAAGCAACTGCAGTACTGAAGAAGTGTTCAGAACAAGGGTATGGTCTGCTGTCGCTGCAGCAGACAGCAAGCAAGCAATAGGGAGAGAAGCAACCAAACAACAAGCATGAATGGAGCAACTAGTGTGAATTAGCTTCCTGGATACGATAAGAAGAGATCGGTGACATAAACCCTCCTGAATTGTGATATACTGCAAAAGTTAGACTGAGAATGAACTTGAAGACAAACGGTTTCCAGTGAATTTAAAGAGAAGAAGATAGACTGGAGAAAAGTAGAGGGGGAGGGGCAATGGGTTGTTCTAAGAAGGGGACCTACTGGCAGTAGTTGGTCATGCCTTGCACTGTGGCATGGTTTGCTTTGTTGAATAAAAAAAAAGCACACTGGTTATTTCATGGAACGCAATAGGCCCAAATCAATCACCGATAATCAATTTGAAATCAAGTCCCACTTAAGAAGCATATTATTTAACTCGGGACCAACATGGAATGAAAGTAGAATCATAAAACATGGAAGTCATAAAGATGTTGGAGCACGGAGGAAAAAAATATTTAAATGTAATCTGGATTCACATCTTAAATATACTTAATTATGTGACTTTTAGAAGGGCATGCAATTATTTCCAAGTTATCACTCATTGGAGGGGGGGAGGGGAAGGAGGTTACATTAATGTAAAAAAGTCTTCGCTATAATCATCTTACGTATTTCCTATTCAAAGGCACGAGAAATAAAGCGGGAGGCCCTGGAATGTGACTTGAGGTTCACAGGCTTCATTGTCGTTTCCTGCCCTCTTAAAGTCGACTCGAAGCCCGTTATCCGTGAGATCCTGAACGCTTCCCACCATGTGAGTTGTGGCTGAGAAACTGTGGAAGGAACCAAGAAGAGGGGCCTAGGCAAATGTTTGAGCCAGTCTGCATAAGTTCACCAGTCTTCCTAATTCTTCATCCCCTCTTCATGTTTGTTGGATCCGCACTGTTCTTTTGTCACCCCCTCCAATCCAAAGGGATGACACTTATTACGGTATCTTTTTTTCTATATGTTCTTAGATAAATTGGCTAGGGCAGCAGAATAAATCTTAAAAGAATAGCTAAGCAGACAGAAAAAAATCCTGCAGGAGCAGATGAAAAAAAACCACCCAGTCAGGCATCCAGTTTTCCTCAGGAGCTGAGAAAGCCTTGGAGCGCTCCCAGGCTTGCTTGCAGTAGCCCTGCCATGCTGTTCTGTTCTCAGCATCTGTGGGCATGTTGCTACGGGAGTTGAACAGTTCTTTTGGATAGGATATATTTCTCCTGTTTGGAATGGAGGACATAGGCAAACACAATGTTTCCTTTTTGTGGCATGGGTATTCCCTCTTTATCCCATGACACAAGATGGGATGTTCTTCTTTGAGAGACAAAAGGATCAAAACTGTATTTGCAAAATTGCTTGGGGGAGAGAGAGAGGAAACGCACCCTTCAGCAAGGCTGTATTTTTAATTACCGCAGGCCGGTATGCTGCTTTTCTATGCACGTTTTCCAGAATGCTTTTTTCAAGCGGTAGTTCTGGAAGCAGATGGCCATTTCTGCAAAGCAGCTTCACTGCATGTTGCATATAGTCATGTGGCACAAACCTGCTCTTTACCCCCATTGTACAGGTAGTGATGATAACAGGTGACAGCCCACTGACTGCTTGCCACGTGGCCCAGGAGCTGCACTTCACCCAAAAGGAGCAGACTCTCATATTGCAGCCATCTCCTAGTAAAGGTAAAAAAAAAAAAAAAACACCTCTTAGAGGAGGGAGGGAAAGAAGACAGATGGTGCTGTAACTTTGCACAGAGCATGTTGTCACTTTTTGCAGCATTTGCTCTCTAGGACATGTAAATCATTGCCTAGCCCTTTTTTCCTGGGAGCTAGTAAAATCACACGGTGCTATTTTGGTCGTTGCTGCTGCTTGTTGTTTACAATGGCTTTCCACTGGGTGATTAGTTTTCAGCCTGTGGTGTCCAGGAGAATTATTCCCCTGTTATCCCATAGTACTTTTCCTGGATGAGTGCTACCAAACAGACAGCCACCTCACTGTGCTTAATTCCCTTCTCTGCTCTAGGCTCCGATTGGAGATGGCAATCCATCAACGGCACTACTGTCCTCCCAGTTGCCCCAGACTCACTGCAGGAGCTGATCAGCAACCACAATCTGTGCATCACAGGGGAGGGTCTTGCTCATCTGCAGGCTACAGAGTCCCGGCTGCTGCTGAAACTCATTCCACACATCCAGGTCTTTGCACGTGTTGCACCCAAGCAGAAGGCAGGTGACCTTTTATCTTTTAATACCCAGCCCAGTTGCCCTTCGGCTGATTAACACAAACAATTGTGAGGTTTTATTTTATTTTATTTTATTTTATTTTAATTTAATTTTTTAGGATAGTTTGCTAACTCTTACCTGACAATAGACACATCTCTTCCAGAACTTTTTTTTTTTATAAATTTGTTACCTGCCATGAGGCAGCCACGGATTTTAAGTTTGGGAGAGCTATGGCCTTTAGTGGGAGGTGCCTTAAGATTGGAATCAAGACTCATCTGCACATCTCTGAAATGATGATTCAGTGGGGTCATTAATATGCATGTGTGTGTGTGTGTTTGTGTGTTTCCCTTGCCCAATCCTAACCTAGTAAAGCCATTAGTTTATTCATGAATATCAGACTTCCATTTTTTTTCATTTTAGGAGATTACAGGTAGTCCTCGACTTGCAACTTAATTCTAAGTAAGCAGAGGGAAGGCTGCTTCTGATGTGGCAGATTTACTGACTGTTTCAAGTTAGAACAGACTTTCCCAGAGCTATCTATAACCTGTTTTTGAAGTTAGGATGACCACACACATTCTACAGTCATATGATTGCATTTTGTCACCTTTATGACTGTTAGCAGCATCCCATGGTTACAGGACCTCTGCGACTTTTTTTGCAGGTTTCCAGCCCAAAAAAATGTCCGGGGAGTGTGTGATATGGCCTCGCTTAATGACTGCTACAAAAAAATATCAAAAAATCAGATCTAGCGACATGATACCTTGACTTACAACTGTAATTTCTTGTGACCGTAATTCTGGACTTAATTACAGTTGTAAGTTGAGGACTTTCTGTACAGAATTGCAAATGTTGAGAACCTGGGCAATTTTATGCAAATTTTCTTTGTTGATTCTTTATTTTCCCGTGATAGGAATTTGTGATCACAACATTGAAAGGACTTGGCTACGTGACTCTGATGTGTGGGGATGGCACTAATGACGTGGGGGCTCTGAAGCATGCTGATGTGGGTGAGTGTTAATTCATTTAAAGATTGTCATTTGGATGAAAACCGGGCCTGTTTATTGTGCGTTTTAATTGCTTTTTTATTAACTTTCTATGAATTGTGATTCTAAAAAAACAAAAAGGATACTGTATGTTCCGGCATATAAGGCAACCCGCCGTATAAGACGACCCCCGACTTCGACGCCGAGTTGCATGGGTAGAAAGTCATCTTATACGCCGGAAACTACCGTTATTTCCAGTGTATAAGATGACTTGGCATATAAGACGACCCCCGACTTTGGTGCCGATTTCAACGCTTTCAAAAGTCATCTTATACGCTGGAAAGTACGGTACTTTATTTTGAAGTGTTTCATGCTCTCATTGGAACAAGCATCTGAGAAGCATTCTATCCTCACCCAGTAGGAGGTGCCTTGCTACAAACTGTGTTGCCGTAAATTGTAGGTATCTGCTGACCAATTAGACTCTGAATTATTTAATTGTTACTGTCTTTTGACTGATTGGATTAGTTGATTAAACACTTAATCTTTCTTCACAACTAATTATGTCGATATTTCTGCGAGGGGAATCAATTGGTTTGATTAAAAGTCCTATCAGTGCAAAGCTAAACAAGCCATCCTGTTTAAAATTATTTATTTGTTTAATGAATTTATATATTTGTATTATAGTTATATATTTACGTTATATTTATACGACCAAATCAAAGTTGCATTTATACTTCAACATCTCTGCTAAAAAGGTCAGTTTCCACATTTATGCATTTAATGTACTTTTTTTATTCCATATTCTGTAAATGATAGCAGATAGAGCATATTAAGCATTATTAATAGCCATGCTTCATGATCATCGGTTTTTGACTCATTAGCCCGGTTTTCACCTGCCCTGAAAACGGCTTGCTTGTGTCATCAGGGATATGATTCACTCTTGCAGGTGTGGCTCTACTAGCCAATGCCCCGGAGCGAATCCCCGAGCGTAGAAAAAAGCCTCGCGATGGAGTGGCTGATGGGAGACCTGCTACTTCCTCTTCTCTCGCTGGGAGCAACATGAGGCCCACCTCCCGAGCTGCCAAACACAGGCTCATGTCTCTTAGGGAGGAGCAGCTGGCTGTACAACGTGTAGGTGGTTAGATCTGTTTTACTTCTCTTGTCTCTTGCTGCTGGCCTCAGTTACGCTTCTGGAATTTCTTTTCCTTTGTGAACTGGGGTGGGGGAGGATGAAGGGAAAGACAGAACTCCATCTACAAATCCTTATTCAGTGCATGTAGAAACAATACTCAAATAAATGGGAATTCCAACGCACCTGGAATTTCTTAAATTCCCGACTCTTTGGATTAAACGGGTTGTCTTCTTGTCTTTCCTGTTCCTAGAAAACAACAGCGTTTCTGTATGGGGGTTTCTTCTTTATGGGGGTTTCTTTTAGAGACAGAGGACTTAACGACTGTTGGTTTAATGATGGTCTGGAATTAAAACAGCCATCGCAGAACATTGCACCACCAGTGCCACAGTCACATGGTCGCAGTCTGGGTGTTTGGCAACCTATTCGCCTTTATGACCGACTGCTAAGCATCCCCGCGATTGCATGATTGCAGTATGCATTCTCTGTTGGCTTCCCAGAAAATTATTGGGGAAGCCAGCAGGGAAGTTTGCAAACTGCTGCCCCCTGCTGAGAGGACTCCCCCTTGTCTCCAAGGTCTAGCTGAAAGAGCTATCTGCCTAGGGGAGCTGAATTCCTATGTTGGGGTGCAGAAACAGAACTCAAATTCTGAAGGTCTTGCACCCTGCTGGAGAAGTTCTTTCTGCACACAGAGGGGAGCTGAACTCTTTTGGCAGGCAGCTTTTTCAGCCAGCTACCAGAGACAAGAGGAAGTCAAAATCCAAGCAGAGAATGTAAAGGCAGGGCAGTAAGGTAAGGTGCCTAGGATGCCTTGGGGACGGGGGAGGCTCTGGGAGGCCCAGCGCAGGCCATGTATGAGTGTCTCTCTGCTCAGGGATTGAAAATCCTGCTTGGATTTTGGCAGGGGGAAATTTCAGCTCCCCGAGCAGAGCCTCCTGAGGCACCCCACACTCCTTTCTTGGGATTTGGCTTAATGAAGTAAGATAGCTTAACAACCACAATTGGGAGTGCCGGGACTGCGGTCATTGAGTAAAGCAGTCACATGAGTGCCTCGCTTAATGTTTCACTCAACTGTATCAAGATTCCGATCCAAATTACGGTTGTAAGTTGAGGACTACTTCTTGTGGTATGGATAGCTTGATGGGGAGCATGCTGTACATTGAACAAGGATGTTTTTCCCTCCCCTTGTTTCTAGCAGGAGAGGATCAGCCAGGTGCTAAAAGATTTGGAGGAGGAACAAATACCCATTGTGAAGTTGGGTGATGCCAGTATTGCAGCTCCGTTCACTTCTAAGCTTTCCTCTATACAGTGCAGTAAGTATGGGAGGAAGGAAGTCTGTGCTTAGGGAGGAATGTTGTGCACTTAAGGCCCACTCTGCACTTCTACAGCAGTGACATATATTCATTTGGTAGTTTCACAGTGAATGTAGATAGTAATCAGTGTGATTTTATTTTCATGCTAGAGTTAGTAGAATCCTGTCTGTTGAAGGGGACATATATCTCTTAAATCTAAGTTGTGCATCACAACTTAAAAAACCTAGATTGGAGCCCCTTAGAGAAAGTTCAGTGAATAAGTGAATAGAGCAGAGCTGGAGAAAAAAGTGTTGTCACCTTCTCTGGAATTCCAGAGGCCTTCCTAGACTGAAGGGAAATGAAAAAAGCACAACGTAACAGTCCTAAACAGAAATCTTCTCTCATTTTCTGCAGTCTGCCACGTGATCAAGCAGGGCCGTTGTACACTGGTCACCACGCTCCAGATGTTCAAGATCTTGGCACTGAATGCGCTCATCTTGGCCTATAGCCAGAGTGTCCTTTATTTGGAAGGTGTGAAATTCAGTGATTTCCAGGCTACACTGCAAGGCTTGCTCCTGGCCGGCTGCTTTCTTTTCATCTCCCGATCCAAGGTATGACTGGAAGAAAGATGCCTTATTGGAGGTGGAGGGGAAGATAGGAAATGTGGTCAGTGAATAAGAGAGTCCACATTCCATTGAGTTCATTAGACCAGGGGTCCCCAACCCCCCCCCCCGTCTGTGGACCAATACCAGTCCGCAGCCAGTTAGGAACAGCTGGAGGCATGTGACGAGTCTGCAAGGGGTCTGGGCAGGGGTGGGAGAGTGGCAGGGCAGAAGCCAGCTTGCTCCGAGCAAAGGTTCTCCAGTGGCTGCGCTTGCAACTGGCTTGCAACATCTGAGCATCCTTCCTCCTCCCGCTTCTTGATCTCTCTTCTTCTGCCTCCTCCTCTTCCTGCTTTTTCTCCCTCCTGCTACTTTTTCTTCCTCCTCCTCTTCTTTCTCACTTTCCTCCTCTCCCCCTCCCAGCACCCCAGCTGGGCTCATGCTCCCTTCGTGCAAGTCTCCAAGTTTGCAAGGCAAGCGCGCGCCAGCCCAGTTTGCAATGGGGGGGCTTCCCCAAAACCTCTTTGGAGGGGGATTCCCCCCCCCAAGGTATGTGTTTATGAGAGTGCTTTCTCAGAGTGCAAAAAGGGGCAAGGAGAAACTAGCTTTGACTTTAAACACTGCAGTCTTCAGGGGAATTTCTCTCTCATTTGCACCTTTTCTAAGACCGCTGAGTTTTTTGCTTTTGTTTTGATGATGCTCCAGGTGCCTCATGTTTTGGCAATTTCCTGCCTACTTTTTGTGGTCTAATTTAGTGTGTGTGTATGTGTGTATGTTTTCATGCTCCTTTCTTCTTGCAGCTCCCAAGTTTGCAAGCCAAGCACGCTCCTACCCGGCTTGCAATGGGGGAGGGGGAAGGGAAAAGCTCAATTTCCCCTCAAGCAACTGTGTCCCCAAGGGAATCCCTCTCTCATCTGCACCTTTTCCAAGGCTGCTGGGCTTGCACAGTGCCCTCCCCCCACCTCTTTGAATGGTTTTCTCAGCACTTCCTCAACGTGCTGAGTCCTTGGTTTGTTTTGCTGGAAGGCTGAGTGTAGGATTGTCTCTTTTCCTTCTCACTTTCTTAGAAGCAGAAAGTTGCTGGTCTAATCTAATACAATGTAATACTAATAGAGATAAAGTGCATTATTTGTTTGTTAGTTTAGAAAATTTAGAATAAATATAATGAATCATCCTGAAACCTATCTCTTCCCCCCTCCCCCCCCGGGTCCATGGAAAAATTGTCTTCCATGAAATCAGTCCCTGGCGCCAAAAAGGTTGGGGACCTCTGCATTAGACTTCAATAGACTACTAGAACCTTCTTAAGGCAGTAAGCTGGCCATAAAGTTTGGTTCTGTGGCATGTAAGGATGTGCACAAACCTAAAAGAAAATGCAAGGAATTGTTCTCACTTATACCAATCACTCATTCAGTGATCAGTAATTGAAGTTGCGGCCATCCCATGGTCATGTGATTGCAATTTGGGTGTTTGGCAACCAGGGCATAATTACAATGGTTGAAGCCCCCCCATGGTTGAAGCCCCCCCCCCATGCCATTTGCAACCTTAATAGCTGGCTTCTGCCAAGAAAAGTAAATGGGAAAGTCAGCAGGAAGTTGCAGTCATGTAATGTCATATTTAAGGACTATATCTGAAAATGACAATAAGTTGTCCTGGTCAAATGATATCACCATGAATACTGTGCTGCTTAGAGAGAAAATTGCCAGTTCCCATTGTGGTTGATAAGTGAGAACTACTTAGATTTTCTTTTTCCAGCTAAGAATCAATAACCCCAAACCATACTTTAATGACTGAAGTTTAGTTTCAGTGGAACAAAATTTTTTCCCTGGAGTAAAATTGGGTAGACATCTATGCTGAACCAAATTACAGAAAATTTGGTCAAGGAAATTCTTTTCAAATATTTTGAAAACATTAAACTCACTCCCCAATAGGAAACTTTGTAGACACATATCTCATCCACTGAAAAATAAATGTTTGGATTAAAATTCGGTATCAAAAATGCCTGCTGCCCTTCTCAACAGAGAATAGAACATTTTCTCTTAGATTTTTTTTAATGCTTTGATTTTTTTTTTAAAAAAGGGGGTTTCATCTAATTTTTATGGACACTTGAACCCCCTAGATCAGGGAATAGATGTGATATGTTTCTTTGTTTTTTGTGTGGAGTGTTGCCTGTCTTTGGCATACCCTTATCAAAATTAAGTGTTGTTCATTGCTTATATTTTTGCTTGCATATCGCTCTAAAACAAGAGACCGCTGGCACTAGTTGAGTTGCAAAAGTAATAATATAAAAGTAAGCAGAAGATATAAACTTCACCACTGATTCTGGCTACTGCAGTGACTTAGTTGTATAAAGGTATAAAGCAGCCCTGTTCAGTACACCATATTTGAAACTGACACAATTTGTTTCACACTCAACAAAACTGCACATTTTGCTCTGATCTTGAAACCTGTCAAAACACCTCTTTTGCCTCATGCTGAGAGCACCCAAGGCATATAATCCAAGGGTGACCGTTTCAAGGTCAGACATTTTCCACGCCAGGAACGAACCTTGGGCCAGTCTCCCTCTCTCAGCTCTAGGAAGAAGGCAAGGGCAAACTAAAATCTTGCAAAAACCTTACCAAGAAAACTACATGGACTTGTCTAGGCTGTCGCCAGGAGTCAAAACTGACTTTGAAAACTGATGAGAACTACTTAGCTTATAGCACTTGTGTGCACGCAAAGCAATTTTCAAAATGGATTTGAACCGGCAAAGACAGGCTTTCTTTTGATTTCTGGGTCTCAATTCTTTCAACAGGTTGACAGGCCTTTTCTTCTAGGGGGTCATTTTCAAAGTAATCATCCTGCAGGCTGCTTCCCAAGTGAATAAGAGTCAGGCTCCAGAGTTCCTATAGAATTCTAACCCTGACCTATTTCTTCTCGTTTCCAGCCTCTGAAGACCCTCTCCCAAGAGCGTCCACTCCCTAATATCTTCAATCTGTACACAGTTCTTACAGTGCTGCTACAATTTATGGTCCATTTTGTCAGTCTGGTGTATCTGTATCGGGGTGCACAAGCCCGCAGTGAGACCAAGTGAGTGCTGCTTGGATTTAAATATGAGGGTATGGAATCAGAAGTAAAAATGCCTGAGTTGTAAGGAAATACAGGTGTTCTCCAGATGTGTGGCCTTCAGATCCCAGAATTTTCAGTGATGTCCACGCTTCTAGAATTCTGAGTGGAAGTCAGGTCATCTGGAGGATACTCAAGCCTGGAAGGGCTGAGAAAAACGTTCAAGGATCTTTCTGTTTCTTTAAGGAAAGAAGACTTTGTGGATCTCTATAAGGAGTTTGAACCCAGTCTTGTGAATAGCACTGTTTACATCATGTCCATGGCCATGCAGATGGCTACATTTGCCATTAACTATAAGGTAACATTTGCTTAGTTTTTATAATTTTGTGATTGCCAATACTTTATCTCCTGATTCATATAGTGCTAGGACCTTGCATTGCAAGCAGTAGGTGCCCATGATGAAACCAAATTTAAACAGGACATTACAGGAAAACTTCAAATTATTATTGTCATATTTCTCCTTATTCTGAATGGCAGAGAGTATAGATCATATGGATGAGCCCATTTTGTAGTTTGAATGTTATGAATGGTTTTGGCTGCTGCTTTTAATTGGGGTGCTTTTTGTTCTTTTTAGGGCATTTTAATTGTTAGCCATCCAAAGTCATGGCTACAAGATGGCTAGCCATATAAATGAAATGTGTATTTATGGAAACTGGGATCAGTCCCAGATTTCAGAATTTGGAGGTGCATTGTCCTTATCTTAAGGGGAATGATTCTAGAAGAATAAAAAATCATTACAAGCAGATTAAAATGATCCTAATGGCAGTTGCATACATAATGAATTTCCGAGAATCTTTTACAGAACTCCAATTGATCATGAAAGGAGATCAAGGGGGATGCCAGGCCCTTTTAGCAATTCCTCAGTCCTATTTGACTAAGATAGGTTGGATACACACTTGCACTTTCACCTGTAAGTGAAAAATGTGCTCTCTGTCATAATAAAACCTCACAGCGAAGGTGAGGCTGTTGCCACGTGTAGCCACAGTATTATGACATGAGAATACTCTTCAGTTTTGTAAGAAAAGTCTTGCCAAAGAAAGTATACCTCGATTAGTGGTAAAACAAGACAACCTTTTAATAGTATGTTGTATGACATCTGCAGTTTAGGTTTCAGTTCTACCCCTAAATTACTAATATAGTTTGGCCATCTTTCCACACCCTGGTTTTATTTATCTAGGGCCACCCATTCATGGAAAGTCTAAGGGAAAACAAACCTCTGCTATGGAGCATCATCATTTCAGGATTAGCAATTGTCGCCCTTTTGACTGGCTCCTCCCCAGAGTTTAATGAACAATTTGGACTTGTGGAAATCCCAACAGAGGTGAGTAAGGAAGACCTTTGCTAGGCCTATCCTCTAATATCTCTTTTCCAACTAGCTGTAGAAATTAAAGAGGTGGGGGGGGGAAAACTGCTATAGTGTTAAGATAGACAAGTTCTGGGTTGCAGTAGTTCAAACCTCTTTTTTGAACTGGAGGTGTTTTGATGAGTACTTTACTTCCAGCAAATGCACAGTAGTCTGAAGACTAGGAGGTCCACAGTGTTATGACTCACTAAACTCCTGCATCTGCTGCATGGTTATATTGATCCTAGAAAAATATTTACTTAATGCAGGGGCTTGGAGAACAAAAAAACAGGTTTGTTTTTGTTCAGGACAAATGATATTTGAGGCAAGGTATAATGTGTTTTGGGGGGAGAACTGAAAATTACTCAGACATAATATAGTGAGTAAGACTAAGTGTAGGCAGTCTTGTGGACTCCAGGTGTTTTGGAATAGGAGTTGGCAGGCCTAGCAATGTAGTGAAAGTGTGTTTGTAAAACTTCTTCAGAGTTAATTTTCCCTATAACAAATTAAAAATATAACCAAAAGAATGTTGTAGCTATATGCTGCTTATAGTTACCAATAATAGATTTCTGTCTACTAAAAATATGAATGGGACAGATGACCAGCTTAATAATAAATTCCTTGCTTACTGATTTACAAGATCAACTCCCATCTTTATTTCAAGACTATAGAAAAAATTTTCATTCCAGGCTTGATACTTAACTAGATTTGAATGCGATAGGGAAAATGTTCTTTCTGGGACTTGGTACATCTTGGTTTTTTTGTTTTTTTTCTATTTCAGTTTAAACTAGTGATCACTAAAGTACTGGTGGCCAACTTCTTCATTGCTCTGCTCATAGACAGGATGCTGCAATTCCTATTAGGCAGCACAAAGCTCAAAGTGCCTTCTTGAGACTCATTCTTCTCCCTTCGCAGAAGTGAAGTGAAGGACAGCCAGAAAGAGATACCACCGAAATACAGCACTACGGAAGGAATATTTATTCTTTGATAGCTGTTTTATTCCAGTTTGGGACTGGCAAGCCAATTTTTATTGTGTTAAGTCTGGAAAGCACAGCAAAAGTTGTGCAAGGGCCTACATTAATCTTCACAAGTCTGCCAAACAGAGCAGCAGTTGTTAACCTTTGTACTGCCTCTTCACTCCTCCTAGAAAGGTTGGTCATGAGATTTGATAATAAAACGGCAATCAGTGCATTTTGGAACAAGGATTTTTTTTTCTTTTTTCTTACTTCCCCCCCCCCCCTTCCCATATTGAATCTTGTTTTGATGTGAGAATTGTCTAAACAATAGAGCAATATCTTTCCATTTTTCATAAACATCATTATTGGCAGTAATACACATTTCAGCATGTTTGAAATAGGCGGAACTAAGTACAGAGATAACTTTGCTGGTAGAATAAGCCTTTTACTTTTATTACATTTTTCTTTGCAAAGAAAATAGATATGATGCTTGGAAAAAGTGTATACAAAAGTAGTCCAACTCGTAACCTGTAGCAAAATATAATATCAGCAGGATTACAATTATACTAGTTTCAGCTAGTAAAGCAGTGTCCCCAACAGCACGATCCCTTTGAAGCAGGTATTCCATCAGCTTAGTTGAGTCAGCTTGACCACCCATAAGCCCCTAGTGGCAAGAACTCTCCAGGAAATGATTGATGCTATGAAATGGTGGGTGGGAGTCTGGCAGCTGCAGTTCTTTCAATTACAAAACTGTAGTCATACTACAGAAAAGCAAAACAAAAAAATATGGTTACAAAAAAGCAAGATCCCCCATATTCAAAACCAGAAAGACCTGCAGCTCAGCTAATAATACATGAATACATGTGTAAGAAAATGACACAGTTGACTTTGCTAAACAAAATTGTGTAGCTTGGATCTGAATGGAACAAGGATCCAGGTCTGAGTTAATCTTAATTTTTGCTCACCTCTTTCTCAATGTCAGCAAGAGACTTGATGTGAAAGTTTTTAAATATTGAAAGGGCCTAGAAAATAAAAACAAATTCAGTCATTAGCCAATTAATCTATATTGCAATTTACAGAAATTATTCCTATCAATATTACTAGAATTTAAACTAATTCCTGCATTAAGTAGATTCAATGGACCTTCTATTCTTACAATCCTTACTCCAAAACAGCTACAGGAAAACATGTTTTCTCATTAGCAACATTCAATTTAATTGAATTAGGTGAGAGAAAGCTCACTCAAGTCTTCTAGTAAGCTTTTTAAAAGTAATTGTGACAGTTGTCGGCACTCCACCTGACACAGGTTACACTACATTTTCCCCAGTATATTATCTGTATTTCCTCAATTCTTTTAAATTATATTTATTGGATTTTTTCATATATCATCTGTGCGAAGATCACTGCTGACCATGTTGGCTGGGAATATTGAGTGGTAGTCAGTTGGAGAAAGCTAGACATATATCACTCTGGGAATGGAACTCATATACCAGTGATGGCAAACCTTTTAGAGACCGAGTGCCCAAACTGCAACCCAAAACCCACTTATGCATTGTTGGGTGTGGCCCATTGGGTGGGCGTGGCTGCGATGGTAACAAAAAAGTTCAATCAATCCCAACTTTGCAAGATCTTTTTTTCCCCGCGAGAAGTTGAAATTGACTGATTGAAATCCCCCCTTTTTTTGCACATGGCGGCGGAGGCCTGAAGCGAAAAGGTTTCATAAAACCCAGCTGAAGGCCTAGGACTGGGGCGACAATGCGCGTGCCCACAGAGAGGGCTCTGAGTGCCGCCTCTGGCACCCGTGCCATAGGTTCGCCACCACTGTCATATACCATTTCCATACATATCTGAAACATCTTCAAGCTACTTCCAGTTTAGAGACCCATTTCTAGAAGCTGACTCTTCTGGAATGACATGGCCCGGGGGGGGGGGGAACAATATTTTTGGCAAGTTTCATTTCCAGAATAATGAACTTTGCATAAGGAAGCAATAGATGTGTGTTCCTAGAAAAATCTATGGTTTTCATCTATTTTTTTCCTTTACACTGTTACATGACTCCAACAGAAAATACTTACAGTGGTACCATGGGTGACATTGTTCTCAAACTTAGGATGCAGAGTAAAGGGGACCCCATCTATGGCTAAGAAGGAAACAAATAGTTCAGATTGCCAGAAAAGTAACCAGATTTTAAAATGGGTGATTATTTACAGATCAGCGAGGTGGCACACAACAAATCATAATACTGTAGTGAAAGGTTAAAAACTTGTTACAATAATAAAAGGTTAAAAATGATGTTATATAAAATATAACAAAATACTTGTAATTCAAACACCGAGTTTACAGAAATACCGTCATAGATTTTCTAAACCCAAGAAAAAGCAACACAGCTCTTTCCCTGTGCTGTACAAGAAATCACTGCAAAAGAAATGTTTTCCAGAGGCCACTCCACCAAAACTTGGAAAATGTAACATAATTCACAGGATGGATATCTTAAGTGCAATAATTGATGCACAAAATGTAGGAAGCTGCATCACTATCTACAGCCTCATTTCAACAGAATTCCAGAAAGTTGCAAAACAGGCAGATTCGGGGAATACAGGTAGCCCTCAAATTACAGCCATGTTACAATGGCACTGAAAAAAGTGACTTATGATGTTTTTCACACTTATGACCATTATGGCATCCCCATTGATATGCAAGTTCTGAGGTTTTGCTGGTTAAAGAAATACAGGAAACCAGAAGTTGCCTTCAAATTTACATGTTTATTCAGCTGAATAGAGACGGACCCTTCTAAATGAGACGAGCAATGAATGACAAGAAATCCTTGTATTTATTCTTAAGCAATCCTTATTTATTCATAAGCAACCTATCTAGCAAAGCTGACACACATAAGATAAAGATTGCACCGAGTAAGTCTGGCACACTGTACATAAGGGAGAAAGCAGAAGTAGCTAAACATGTTCCTATTCGGCTGTTCCCTAAAGATATCGTATGTTCTTGGGTGGGTTAGGACATTGGGTGTTGTCCTTGCTGTCCTTTCCTGACCCTGCATCCAGGACTACAAGTGACCAGAGACAGAGGGGCCATCTGTATATTGATACTCTCCCCTAAATCCTGCTCAGCACCATGGTCGGTTGATCAAAATTTGGATGCTTGGCAACTAACTCATATTTATGACGGTTGCAATATCCTGGGGTCATGTGATCCCCTTTTGCGATCTTCTGACAAGCAAAGTCAATGGGAAAACCAGATTCACTTAACAACCGTGTTACTAACTTAACAACTGCAGGGATTCACTTAACAACTGTGGCAAGTAAGGTCGTAAAATGGGGCAAAATTCTTAATATGTAGCAACTTTCTCACTTAGCAACAGAAATTTTGATCATAAGTCAAGGACTATATGTCAAGAAAATAACTGACAATTAGTGTAGGTTTGTTCAATGTTCAATTACTATATCATGTTCCACTAATCAAGCTGTCACCCTTAAACTGACCTCTTCTATGATAAGCTGGACTGCCTTAAGAAGGGCTGAGGCTGGTGTCAGTATTGCTCTGAGAAAAATCAGGATTAATGCAAAATTAGAAAGCACTATAAAGTTTCAAACTTGATCTTTCAAAGGATGCAATTCTTTCCAGAACACATTACATCCCAGATCCCATGTCAGTGATCATTCTGGTCTGGATTTAATTTTATCTTGTTCACTTTAATCTAGTAGCGTATTAAATATGAACAGATAATGTAATATGACTAAAGACACCAAGCACTCAGTTTCCAAGCGCCCCATTTGCAAGCAAACGAAGCTTCCAGTCTCTCTCTGGGTGAAAAGTGTTTGGGTGCCTATGGGGCGCTTGGAAACAGCGTGATTCACAAACACATAGGGCCCTGAGGTAAGCAGGTGCGGGGCATTGGGGCAGCTCCACACCCCCCACCTGCCTCTCCTCACCTCGTGACGGTGGCACTGGTGCGATGTGCGCTCTTCTGCCCCATTGCCGCAGCGAGCAACCAGACGGTGGGACGGTGTGGGCAGGCGCTTAACTAGGGCTTATTTTGGGAGTAAGGCTTGTATTAAGCACATGCCAAAAAATCAGGCTAGGGCTTATTTTCTGGGTGGGTCTTATTTTCGGGAAAACATGGTATAATTGGATAAATCTAAAGTTAAAAGGACTCCCAATTTCAGAACTGTTTTCCTCCTATAAGCAAAAAACAACATCTTCCTATGAAGAGATATTAATCTTTAACCATGGCATTAGTTCTATCCTGACAAATGTAAACAAATAAGGTAGTCCTCACATTATTAGGCTGTATATAACAAAAGTTCACATTCCACCTTAGTTATAAAAAAGACCTACGGGATGAACCATGCCAAATTTCAAGAACAAATATACCTACTGGAACATTTCTTGAAGTTCAGTTCTATGCTTCATTCTCCCATAGAAGCAAAATATGCTTTATCTCCTTGAATAGACGATCCTTACCTGAAATACCACAGGTACTTGATGTATCGTATATAGATTCATTTTTCTTAATGGTAGCTTGTCTTTTGGAGCCAATAGAAAGAGGGTCTACGCTGAAAGGATTAAAATGAAGAAATACATGCAGTCTTCTTAGTAGGTTATGAACTGTATTGTTTCAATCATTCCCCAGTATCTCTTATCAGCTTTCATAGGTGCTTGCAGCACCTCAAAAACAAATATTTGCCCTAGCAATAATTGTAAATGTATAAGTTAAAACAGTACAAGAGCAAGTTTACCGGAGATACTTGCTTATTAGATGCGGGGTCAATGAGTATATGGTGAAACTAAGATAATGACTCAACAGAAACAGAAGACCTAATCATATTGGCAGTAAGAGCCACTGAACACAATGGGATTTTGCTTAGCAACAGTGTGAATTAACAAAGGCCTCGGAAAGAGTGCTTTACAATTTGTAAAACAGTTCCAACTATTACAAATGTCATATGCGCGCGCACACACACACACACACACACACACAAACTCCAGTCATGTAATTGCAAGCTAGGTATTTTGCAACCTGCTCGCACTTATAACTGACTACCAAGTGCAATCATAGGCACTCCCTTGGGCACTGCCAAAGGATTTTGGCTCCAGGCATGCTTGCACGGAACTAAAATCCTTTGGGCCTGCTCCCCTGGAGCTAAAATCCTTCATGCCTGCTTGCACGAAGCTGAAATGGTTTGGCAGGGAGCTCTTTCAGCCAGCTCCTAGGCAAAAGGAAGCTGAAATCCAAG